AAACATATCATGCCAGCAGTCCAAATCCCACTCCTTTTCAAGCCTTGATTAAATGCTGCCACTTTCAAAAATCTGTAGCCATTCTCAATTTATGATGGCACTTGAATATTTCCTCTTACATAATCGTTCACTTTCGTCTTGGAGTTGCATTTGTCTGTCATACTGGAGTGTAATCCTCTAGAGGGCAGGGGTAGTCTCCAGACTCCTGCTTAGGCTTAGATAGTACTTTGCCCATAACCAGCACTTACTAAAAACTCCTCTATGAACTAATGAAAATATTGTGTATCTCATTACATGGTCAGTTTAAAATTGAATGAATTTTTTTAAACACTCAAAGCAATAAAGCCTCTTATTAAAACAATTGCCAGACACAATAAACTATAAAAATGTGTTCAAATATTTAAACATGAATTAGAGATAGCTTTAACCTGATTCATTTATACTAGTTACTTTTCTTTTTTATTTATTTTATTTTATTATTTTTTTTTATGGAGTCTCACTCTGTCGCCTAGGCTGGAGTGCTGTGGCACGATCTTGCCTCACTGCAACCTCTGCCTCCAGGTCCAAGCGATTCTCCCGCCTCAGGCTCCCAGGTAGCTGGGATTACAGGGACCTGACACCATGCCCAGCTAATTTTTGTATTTTTCTAGTAAAGACAGGGTTTCACCATGTTGGCCAGGCTGGTCTCAAATTCCTGACCTCAGGTGATCCACCCGCCTCAGCCTCCCAAAGTGCTGTGATTATAGGTATGAGCCACTGCGCCTGGCCTAGTTACTTTTCTTTTTCATTTTTTTATTGATACAAAATATTTTTGTGTATTTATGGGGTACATGTGATATTTTGATGCATATATACAATGTGTAATGATCGTCAGGGTTCTCAGGATACCCATCACCTTGAACACTTATTTCTTCACATTGGGAACATTTTAAATCTTCTCTTCTACTCGACATCACTAATAAGCAGAGAAATGCAAGTCAAAATGACATCACCTCACACCTGTTAGGATGGCTATTATCAAAAAGTCAAAAGACAGCAAGTGTTGGTGAAGATTAGAGAAAAGGGGATGCTTGTATCCTGTGGCTGGAAATGTCAATTGGTGCAGCCATTATGGAAAATAGTATAGAGGTTTCTCAAAAAATTAGAAAGAGAACTACCATATGATCCACTGATATTACTTACTACTGGGTATATTTCCAAAAGAAATAAAAACGCTATCTCCAAGAAGTATCTGCAGTGCCATGTTAATTGCAGCATTATTTACAGAAGCCAAAAGATATGGTAACAATCTAAGTGTCCACCAACTAATGAATCATAAAAGAAACTGTGGTGTGTGTACACACACACACACACACACACACACACACACAGAGAGAGAGAGAAAGAGAGAAAGATTATTTAGCCTTAAAGAAAAAGGAAATCCTACCATTTGTAACAACATGGATGCCTTGTTAAGAGCATGCTAAGTGAAATAAGCCAGACACAGAAAGACAAATACTGCATGATCTCATACATATGTGGAATCTTAAAAATTAAAGTCAAACTCATAGAAAACAATCTTCTCTTCTAGTTATTTGGAAATACAATGTTAACTATAGTCACCCTTCTGAGCTATCAAAAACTAGAACCCATTCCATCTTATCTGTTTGCTTGTACCCATTCACCAGCCTGTCTTCACTCCCCCACCCCTACAGCCTTCTGCTCTCTAATTCCATGAGACCAACTTCTTTAGCTCTCACATATGAATGTGAACATGTGATCTTTGCATTTCTGTGTCTGGTTTATTTCACCTAACAAGATGACCTCCAATTCCCTGCATGTTGCTGCAAATGACAGGATTTCTTTCTTTTTTTCTAGCTGAATAGTATTCCATCATGTATATATATCACATTTTCTTTACTGATCTGTTGATAAATACTTCGGTTGATTTCAATCTTGACTATTGTGAATACTGTGGCAATAAACGAATTCTTACACCCGCTGATATATTGATCAAGAATCCCTTTGATTTATTGATTTCTTTGCCTTTGGATAAATAACCAGTAGTGGGATTGATGGATCATATGATAGTCCTAGCTTTAGTTTTTTGAGAAGCCTCCATGCTGTTTTCCATAATGGCTGCATGGATGTACATTCCCACCAACAGTATACTAGTTACTTTTCTTTTCATCAGATGTCCATAGCTGTAAGTTTCCTTTGGGCCAGAAGTAATAACCTCATAGCTGACCTTCACATTGCAAAATTATCCCTTTGAACAGCAATCCCCAACATTTTTGACACCAGGGACCAGTTTCATGAAAGACAATTTTTCCATGGGCAGGGGTGGGGAATTAGTTCAGGATCGTTCAAGTGCATCACATTTATTGTGCGCTTTATTTTTATCATTATTACATTGTAATATATAATGAAATAATTATACAACTCACCATAATGTAGAATCAGTGGGAGTCCTGAGCTTGTTTTCCTGCAACTAGATGGCCTCATCTGGGGGTAATGGGAGACAGTGACAGATCGTCAGGCATTAGATTCTCATAAGGGGCACACAACCTAGATCCCTCACATGTGCACGGTTCACAATCATGCTCCCATGAGAATCTAACACCCCAGCTGATGTGACAGGAGGTGGAGCTCAGGTGGCAATGCCAGCCATGGGGAGTGGATGTAAATACAGATGAAGCTTCCCTCATTTGCTTGCCCCTTGCTTACCTCCTGCTGTGCCACCAGGTTCCTAACAGGGCACAAAGGGTACTGGTTCATGGCCCAGGACTGGGGATCCCTGCCTTTGAAGATGCCCAACCAGTTTCTTCTTCTGAAACTATTACTGGTGGTTTGTATTATTGTACCCAATTATTTCTTGTCCTCCTTTTAAGAGTATTATTCAGCTCACTTGTTGTTGATACAGACAGAAAACAGGGAAATACTGGGTAGAAGTCAGTTCCCTGGCAGAGGCCTCACCCTCAAGCCTGGAAACCCATGGCTCTAAATGAGGACAGGCATTCCTGTTTTCATGCCCAAAAGTTACATTCTGGCCCTCCGTGCCCCCCTCTCCTGTACCCATATAAACTCCAGACCCCAGGCTCCAGCAGCAGGAGATGAGCAGATGAATAGAAGAGCAGAGGAGCAACATATAAAGAGAAAAGAGAAGAAATGTTGGGAGGAATTCAGCTGGGGACAGTCAGAGAATCCACCAGCAGATGGCCAAACTCCAGGGGAAGATCATTTTCCTACTCCATACCCTTTCCAGCGCCCCATCCAACCCACTGAATGCCATCCCTACCACCTAATAACCCCCCCATCCCCCTAACATCTGCATTCACCATCCTTCAAGTCCATGTATGACCTGATTATTCTAGGACGTGGGACAAGAGCTCGAGATACAGAAAGCTGTCATGCTGACCCTCTGCCCTTGCAAAAAGGCAGAAGTTCTATTGAGCGGGTTAATGCTTAAGCCATCAGCTGACGGCAAGGCTAAAAGAGCACACTGTAACATGCACCCGCTTGGGCTCCAGGAATCACAGGCTCCTGCCCCTGGATATTGCCTTGTGGCTGGAAGCCCAATGCCCTAGCTTTTGCACCCTGGCTCCTGCACCTGTCCATCTGCATGCTCACCATCCCATAAGGGGTTTGAGCAAGGCAGAGAGTGAGCACATGAGCCGCACCCCTGTTGCATGTCCTGCAAGGGGGGTCAGGGAACTCTCCCTTTTCATTGTCACATGACTTGCAAGGCTTCCTTAACAGAGGGTTATACTTTCCTATCCACTGACAGCAAACTTTGACCAACAGAATGTGAGCAGAACTGAGGTATGCATTACGTGAGTTTTAAGAGCAGATTGTACCACTCCTGTACAAGAGCTAATTGTTAACATTTTCAGGAACTTGGCAAGTCACTTGTTAGACTGTTTGTAGCCTGAAATCGGCCATGGTGGGAGTATTTACATCATAGAAATAGCAAACACTACAAATCAGGACTTCCTCTTCTCCCTCAAAGCCGATTTACCAGCCCAGCAGGGAGCATGGCCCAGAAAATTCATCTTTCAGCCTGGAGCCTGGAAAGAAGAAAACTGGTGGAGTACTGTGAAAGCTCCCTGCAGCCACAGTAATTCGCTTGAGAAATGGACCTTTAAGCCACTGAGTTGCAAAGTTTGTTCCTTACCTGAGCATAATCTAGGCAAAGCTGGTACACCATGCTGGTGTTTTGGTTAAGACCAACAAGCGCCACCTTCATCTGTCCCGACCTAGGTTAGAGGGATTTCTTCTAATAACTTGTGACATCACGCGCCTGGAGCCTGCAAGGATGCAAACTGCGCTCGGAGACTCCGGCCCGGGAATCCAGGTCTTGGAAGGTTAATGCAAAGTTGTAAAACAATAGTTACATTTTAACCACACTCAGCTGTTGCGTCATCTTAAAACCCTGGCCAACACAAGTCTGCCGCTCGCGGACCTGGGTAGTTTCAGAGCGACCACTCTACCGCTTTCGGGTGAAGGGCCCACGTGACGGCCCCCCTTTCCCCGCAGACGCGTGAATGGAGCGCTGTGTCTTTAAGGGGGAAGCGCGGAGGTTTCCGTCCTGGACAAAATGTCAGCGAGGCGCCTGGAGGGGGATCCGCCGTCCCGGACTCCCGACCCGCCGCCGGCTCCGGCCGCGCTTCGCGGGTGACGGGGTGAGTGTGGGCCTCGAAACTCGGTGGGCGAGGCGGGCCGGGCCGGGCCGGGCCGGGCGGCGGGGAGCACAAGTGAGCAGGCCCGCGGACGCCGCCGCCGGCCTCCCTGGCACCCGCGCGGTGCGAGACCTTCTCCCAGGTCGCTGTCGCGATCGAGAGGAGGCAGGTGGGCCCGGGATTGTGCGGCAAGCCCCGCTCACAGTCTTCCTGCGCCTCATTCTCGCTCCTTCCCTACACTCCCCTTTCGACAAACGTGCTGGGAATGTGGAAACTGCTGGCCACTCTCCAGCGCTCCCTTTATTAAAGTTGGCTGATTGCAGTCTTTTCACTGGGCACAGTGGCTGGGCGCCCTGCAGTGGGTTCTTTCTGTAATTGGGACTTTCTTGATGTCGCCCACTTTTAGGGGCAGAAAGCGAATGTTGTTAGCCAGATGCTCACACCAGAATCCCCGCCCCTCCCCCACCCCTCGTGGTCCCCAAACAAAAGAATTTTCCGCCCCTTTCCGAGTCCGCTGGAGCAGTTTATGTGATTTCTTGCACTAACCAAATGTCCGAGTCTTAGTTAGCAAAGCAGAAACCCCCTTTGAAGGAAAAAATAAGTACTTGCCACCAGTCGAATTTCTAATTAGCCAAGACTACAAAGATAGGTGTTTAAGAGAAACTGTTGTAGAAACAGCTTAATACATTGACCTAATTAGGGTAATTATTTTCTGCTTTTTTTAATTCATACATTATTATGACACCTTTTGGAGGCAAGAATAGCTTGAGGCAACCGACAATTTTTTTTAAAAAAAGTATACAGCAATACATATTATAAACAGACCAAAAGCCCAAGCCAGATAATTCTCAATTTAAAAATTAAATTAAAAAATCTTTGAGTCACAAAGGCCTTCAAAGTAGGGCAGCTTTAAATCCCTATAACTGTGATTAAATTATGCATTTTTACAAGATAAAATGGAGCACCACCTTAATTTTTAGAACCATATCTATTAAGCAAAGTAATGCAGGCCTGAAATAAAGGTCCAATTTAAGGGCAGAACCCTTCACAATTTTCATTTTAAAAAGTGCATTAACAGAGAGAAAGTGCTTCTTTGCCTTTTAGCTAATGGTAGAAATATCTAAGAGTTTGGCTTATGACATTTAGGAAACATCTCTGATTCAACACATAATTACCTGTGAGTCCAGTGTATTTTTTACAGTCCACATATAACCTTCTTCTAAACTTTTTCACATTTTACTCTTTATTCTGCAATTTAGGTTTTACAGCTTGGAGGCATTTTTACTTGTCTTTTAACTTCAGCTAAGCCTTCAGCCTGGTGATTCCAGACTCATTTTTCTAATTGTCCGGATCTGTTTATAGATAGATTAATATATGGCAGTAAACTAATAGTTCAACAGAGATGGACAGATAACAGATGAACTGTGGTTTTCTTGACACTTCAGTTGTCGTCTAATTATTTGTATTAATTATTATGTTCTGCTTGGATTAAAGTCACTGGTGAAGTAAATGAAAATGTTTTCAGTGTTTCCACATATGTCTGTGTGAATTTCACATTAGTGTGAATTTCTTGTCTAAGATCCAGGCTCAACCAACATATATTTGTTTAAAACTCTGCCTGGATAACCCAACTACAGTGAGTAGCCTTGAGTATGAAAGGACAAATAAAGGTGTAATTCATTTGCTATGTCCTTTTGAGAACATTGCCTGGTTCTCTAGCCTTTAGGCTGCCAATATTTTTTATGTGTGCAAGCATAAGTATAAAATAATACAATTAACTTTTGTGGGTGCTTTATAGGATGACTGTCAATATTATAGCCATACCTTGTTTATATGCCCATATTTATACAGATTATTCATCCAGGTTCTAATCTCTTCCTTTATTCTTTATATTGGTATTTAGGGCCATCATACTGAGGAATCTGGGTTTTAATCTGATAGTTTATCAGAAGGATAGAACTTCTTCAGAAATTGAGTCAAATGGAGAGATAATTAATGTGAATGTATTGTCTTCCACAGGCTTAGATTTAGAACTCCTTCCAGATAATGAAACTCAGCTATAGCTAGTGCAGAGGCATGGTACCAGCAACACTACTCTCTCTCCTTACTTGAAATATCTAAAATCTCCATGTCTTTTCAGTTTTTTTTTTACCCTGAAATTGCACTCAGAAATTTACACTGTTAATTTCATGTTAGCAGTGCTTTTATATAGCTTAAAGAAATTTTCTTTTAAATTAGGAGTTTGGAAGCCTCATTATACAACTGAGGAACTGGAACTTTATTAGAGTTGAGTACTAAGAGAGTAATGTGTTTTGGTGGTGGATAACAATGCGTTTGCACCCTGTGGGGCATGGGATGGGAAGGGATGCTGAACTGCATGAACTTTTGTGTTAGGCCCCCAAGACCTCAGCCCCAGGAGCTACCCATGCCAGCCCCTTCCCCAGTGGAGATTATGTGATGGAATTCACCCTAAGGAGTGAGCACTGATTTCAACTTTACCACAGTCTATGAGTCCATTTTCACGCTGCTGATAAAAACATACCTGAGACTGGGCAATTTATAAAAGAAAGAGATTTAATGAACTTATAGTTCCACGTGGCTAGGGAGGCCTCACAATCATGGCACAAGGCAAAAGCCACTTCTTACATGGCAACAGCATGAGATAGAATGAGAGTCAAGCAAAAAAGAGTTTCTCATTATAAAACCATCAGATCTCATGAGACTTATTCACTACTATGAGAACAGTATGGGAGAAACTGCCCCACTGGGTCCCTCCAACAATACATGGGAACTATGGGAGTACAACTCAAGATGAGATTTGAGTGGGGGCACAGCCAAACCATATCACACAGGCATCAGAATTACTGTTGGCAGCATCTCTTTCCCCACCAGATGGTAAGCTACCTGAGGGCGGAGACTGTGTGATGTTCCTCTTGGAATGTCTAGCAGAAAGCATGCACCTGACCTTAGCAGGTACACAATGAGCATTTGAATGAGAGTTGGATGGAGTGGAGGGATGTAAGCAAAATACTCACATTCATTGGCACATTTGTATTAGTTTAAAAAAAATGTTCAAAGAAAAATTAAGGGAGCTCTTACTTTTCATTTTCTTCTTATTAGCTAACTACAGAATTAATGATATGCATTCTCATTCGGTACTTGATAAAGAAGAAATGCATATCACAGGACTTTGGCTAATGAAACCTCCCTATTCTTTTACCTTAGTGATAAGCAAGCTATTTTACATGAAGGTCAATTTACAAAGTTAAAATAAATTTAAAGGGTAAGGGTCTTGGATCTGTTACTCTTTTTTTATTTGCTCTTTGTACTCAAACAATTCCCAAAGGGATTCCTCCAACTTAAACTACTTACTCTGTTGAATAACATGTCAAATGGAAAAATAACTGCCTTTTAGCCACTAAAATCTTAACATGGGCATGTCTGAGCAGTAAATATTGGTAGTTTCCTTTTTGTTCATGCCTTGAATTTATATAACACTGGAGAGTCCAACAGTGACATCATTTGCACTATCTGATCTCAGCCACCTGTTTAGAGCCAAACAATCTTATTTCTCTTGACAGATGGGAAGATTGAGACTTGGGTGGGTGGGGCTAAAGAAACAGAGTCAGATTCATTTCATTCAGTGCAGCATCCCCCAAGTGTCTACCCTGTGCCAGAGAGATGAATGGGATGAGCTCCTCTTCCATGACATCCTGCGTGTGGATACAGAATCTCCTTCTGCAAGGCACAGCAAACTACCTGACAATGAGCAGCCCCACATGCTGGGCTTCCTCCTCCCAGCAGCGCAGCAGTGGGCTTCCCCATGGGACTGTCCCACTAGTCTCCACAGTTGAGGCTGGGCTGGCCCTGCCTGAGCTCACATGCCTGAGGAGCCAAGGGTTGTTTTGTTTTTTGTTTTTGTTTTTCTGAGACAGAGTTTTGCTCTTGTTGGCTAGGCTGGAATGCAATCATGCAATCTCGGCTCACTGCAACCTCTGCCTCCCAGATTCAAGCAAGTCTCCTGCCTCAGCCTCCTGAGTAGCTAAGATGACAGACACCCACCACCATGCCCAGCTAATTTTTTGTATTTTTAGTAGAGATGGGGTTTTGCCAAATTGGCCAAGATGGTCTCAAACTCCTGACTCAGGTAATCCACCTGCCAAGGCCTCCTAATTATAGGTGTGAGCCACTGAACCCAGCCTCTATTTTTAATTAATATAGAAATTGCAGCTGGCAGCAAGACAATATTCAACCCCAGGTAATACAGAGAACACCACAAAGATATTCCTCAAGAAGAGCAACCCTAAGGCACATAATTGTTAGATTCACCAGGGTTGAAATGAAGGAGAAAATACTAAGGGCAGCCAGAGAGAAAGGTCAGGTTACCCACAAAGGGAAGCCTATCAGACTCACAGCAGATCTCTCAGCAGAAACCCTGCAAGCCAGAAGAGAGTGGGGGCCGATATTCAACATCCTTAAAGAACAGAACTTTCAGCCCAGAATTTCATATCCTGCCAAACTAAGCTTCGCAATTGAAGGAAAAATAAAATCTTTTATGAACAAGCAAGTACTCAGAGATTTTATTACCACCAATCCAGCTTTACAAAAGCTTCTGAAAGAAGCATTATACATAGAAAGGAACAACCAGTATTAGCCTTTCTAAAAATATGCCAAAAAGTAAAGAGCATCAACATGAAGAAGAATTTACATCAATGAATGGATAAAATAGCCAGTAAACATCAAATGGCAGTAACCCTAAATTTAAGTCGACTAAATCCCCCAATCAAAAGATACAGCCAAAACCTAACGGTATGCTACATCCAGACCCATTTCACATGCAAGGATACACAAAGACTCAAAACAAAGGGATGGAGAAAGATTTACCAACCAAATGGAGAGCATAAATAAATAAATAAATAAAAAGCAGGAGTTGCAATTCTTGCATCTGATAAAATAGATTTCAAAGCAACAAAGATATAGTGGTAGAAGGATCAATGCAACAATAAGAGCTAACGATCCTAACACCCAGATACATAAGACTCATAAAGAGATTTAGACTCAACGAGACAGAAAATTAATAAAGATATCCAGGACTTGAACTCAGATTCGGAACAAGTAAACTCAATAAATATTTATAGAGCTCTCCATTTTAAATACACAAAATATACATTCTTCACCTTAAATATACAAAATGTTTATCTGCCATTATTAATACCCATTTTTAGAATAAAGCTATATTCCCGTTTTCTCTCCCTCTTTTTCTTCCTCTCCTTCACTCCTTTTTTTTTTCCTTTCTTTAAAAAAAAGAAAGAAAGAAAGAAATCGCAGCTGGCTGTGGTGGCTCACACCTGTAATCTGAGCACTTTGGTAGGCCAAGGTGGGTGGATCACTTGAGCCCAGGAGTTCAAGAAAAACCAGCTTGGGCAACATAGGGAGAACCCCATCTCTACAAAAAGTACAACAATTAGCCAAGCGTGGTGGCATGCACTTGTAGTCTCAGCTAGTTGGGAGGCTGAGATAGGAGGATTGCTTCTTGAGCCTGGGAAGCAGAAGTTGCAGTGAGCCGAGATTGCGCCACTGCACTCCAGCCTGGGTGACAGAGCAAGACCATGTCTCAAAAAAAAAAAAAAAAAGAAAGGAAAGAAAGAAGAAATGACCAGACTTCTTTCCTAAAATCCATCCCATCTTTACTAGAAATTGAGAAGTGTGCCTTTTCTCTACCTCCCTTGTAACTCTGGCTGTTAGGCCTCTTAATGTTTCTGGGTGTGATAGATGTAAAATGATACCTTATTGCTACCTTAATAGCATTTCCCTGCATATAAGTGATATTGTGTACCTTTTCACGAACTTCCTGGCAATTTGAGTTTGCTGTTAGGTCATTTGCCTACTCATATTTCTCATCTGTTTTTCTATCAGGTTCTTTGTCTTTTTATTGTCAGTTCGAAGAGTTCTTTGTGTGTTATGGTTGTGGCTGAAGAGTCTGAAGAGGACTTTCCCCCTCCACACTGCAGGGGCACCTGAAATACACCCCGATTGTTTAACAGAGCTAACCAGGCTGTTACGACCTCTGGCCGTAGACTGCTGGTCACTCTGTAGATACTGAGACTGAGGACTGTATAGAGCTAGAATACAGCCACATGGTGTGGAGGACTGAGAAGGTGAGGCAGTTCTGCCCCGTGCTGCCTTCTACCGGTTAAGACCTCCAAAATGGAAGGGCTGCCCATGCAGAGATGTCCCCCTGCTGCCTTTGGAGGGGCAATGCTGTGCTGGCCAACATTTGTGATGCTGCTTGTCCCTGGCTCAGGTGAGGTCAAAGGGTGAAGACATCAAAGTCAGTGCTTCTCACCCTTGTGCCCACTTTAACTCCTAACAGATGGCATTCACCTGTGCAACACTCCCTCTGGGCATTGTAGTTTTTAGAGAAACTCAGAGAGGAAAAAGCATGACAGTAATTGGTCACCTCTGGCACTATTAGGGGCACATTAGTAAGGATGACTCTCAGACTTTGGCACAAGTAAGAGAATCTGTGGGTTTATGTGCACCTTCCAAGCTTAACACAAGAAAGCATATCAGAATGCAAAGCAATACTCTTAATGTCATAGGAAACATTTATATCTCTTTTCATTTATAAGCCAGTCACAAAGATTCATTATAATAGTCTCTCCACTTTTATGTATATCCAGGAATAAAAAAGGACCTCGGGAAAGATCAGATTTCAATATAGAAGGAAATAGAAATTTTTAAAAAAGAAAAAAGTATAGGAAAAATTCTAGGTAAAGTTAGATAATTAAAAATGTTTGTAACTCTTAAATCTTACTGTTAACCACAATGTTACATAACTGTAATATTTACTGGCCATAAAAATATTTTTCTTAAAAGTGATTTAGCCTTTAATTTCTAAAGTTTTTTTATGCTAATCGGTCTTTATCATGAGTGACCATATTTAAATCAATGCCTGTGTCTCAGAAGACATGTAAATTGCCATTTCTTTGTTAGAAGATGCATAGTATTTGTGTTTTTTGATGATTCTGGTATATTTATCTTTTTTAAAAAAATAAGAGATATGTTAAATGTCATGCCTGATCCAGAGTAGACTTACTTGGTGGGAAAAAGAATACTTACATTTTGAAAAGTACAGTGCATCTGTAATAAGACTATTAGCAACTGAATTCATAGCTTACACTAAATGCTACTATCACTATAGCAGCTGATTTTTCCTAGTCTCGTCTTTGTCTTCAGTTTTTCCCAGTTGTGTTTAACAAGAAAGATTTTGGAACTTTGTCATCTCCACTGCTGCTGTTTCAAAATCTGAAGGTATGAGTGAAATTGATCTCATTGTGCCTGGGTCTCACCTTGGCCTTGATTTTCTCCCTGAGATAAGTTCTCAGAAGAGCTCAAGAAGTCTGTCATGTGTTTTCTTCTGTTTTTCAACTTTCAAAGCAAATTTATCTAGAATCACACATTTGGTCCTTTGTGAACTTATTTCCTAAAGAATAAACTTCACCTTTTCCTGTATTCCCTTTTCTTTGATAGGTTATTGCAGTGGAGAATTATTTTCCTAATAAAAAAGCCTGTGCAGTGATAGTCATTGCATTATGTTTGGATCCCTTTAATAGATTTTGTGTTGAACAAAGCAAGACATTATTACTTTTATCTCTTTTTCTTTCTTAATTAAAAGTATTGACCAAACTCTGTATCTTGCAAATATGTAGAGGGGACCTTTTAGTTAGAATGAACAATAAAGAAAACTAATTTTATTTGTTTTATGCCTAGGGTATCTATGAAAGGGTTAGAAAAAGTGAACGGGGAATGGCGCTCGTCAATATTTCTAGTATCTACCTTTAAGGTGGTTTGAATGCATTTCTTTTAGTGGCCTGCCTGTCCTCTGAATTTACTCCTAGCACTGCTGGGAGTAACTCCCTTGTAACTCTGAGGAACTCACCCGGTGGGCAGGGCGTGGTGGGTTCCTCAGAACTCAGGAATCGTGCTGCATGCATTGTTTCTACCCCTGGAACCTGAGAGGGCAGGAAACCCTGAGGCAATGACGGGGACCCCAGAGTCCTTGGGAAATGACCCACTGTCTAATTTAAAGGTAAAAAATTAGAATGCTGCTTTGGATATTGCCATTTCCTAAATGTGCATATTTTAAAAGCATTGCTTTCAATATTGCCAATTTTCTCACACGTAGATTCTTTTTAATAATCACAAAAACAGATATTTTTATCTTGAAAAACATACAGTCATTGAAAGCTTTTTAAAAGGCTGTTCACCATTGACTCTTCCACTCCTGAAGTTTAAGAAACAAAATTTTCATTCCCAAAGCTTTCTTTTCTGGTCATTGCTGAAGTGTGCTGTACAGAACCCAGAGAAGACTACAGAATGCAGCCTGGCTGGTATTCTGAAGACAATACCTTTTCGTCATCGTTAAGAAAGCAGACGCTGGTTAAAGCTAATACCTAGACACAGCACGGAGTTAGCTAGTTCTTCCTGTTCAAGTAGCCTTAGCCTCCCGCTATTAGTATAAATACTTGTTGACTGGGGACCCACTTGATTTCAAAGAGGATTCCTAGTATAGGAAGGGCTATACAGTTTTTTTCCTGAGGAATCAACAATACTGAAGATTAATTAGAAACCTAGACATCGTCCCACACTATAGGATTTTTATCGGTAAGAAAATGGAGGGCAGCATGATTTCTTAGGCTAACTGTAGTCTAGGAGCTGTGTGCGTGATCCTAACATTATTATTCTTCCCCTGTTCCCCAGCGTGCGGGCGCCGCAGAATGAGGAGTGGCGAGCCGGCCTGCATCATGGATGAGGCCAGCGGGCGGGACAACGCGGCGACGCGGGGCGGTCCATGTCCGGGACTGGGGCCGGCGCCGACGCCTCCGGGCCGCCTAGGGGCGCCGTACTCCGAAGCCTGGGGCTACTTCCACCTAGCCCCGGCGCGCCCCGGGCAACCGTCGGGCCACTGGGCCACCTGCCGTCTGTGCGGGGAGCAGGTGGGCCGCGGCCCCGGCTTCCATGCGGGGACCTCGGCGCTGTGGAGGCACCTAAAGAGTGCGCACCGGCGGGAGCTGGAGAGCAGCGGCCCCCGACGCTCGCCACCCACCACGCCCTGCCCGCCGCCACCCGGTCCTGCCGCGGCCCCCGAGGGCGACTGGGCGCGCCTGCTGGAGCTGATGGGCACGCTGGCCTTGCGCGGCAGCCAGTGGGAACGGGAGCTGGAGCGGCGCGAGGTGGCGGTGGAGCTGGGCGAGCGCGCCCTGGAGCGGAGGCGGAGGGCGCTGCAGGAGGAGGAGCGCGCCGCGGCTCAGGCGCGCCGGGAGCTGCAGGCTGAGAGGGAGGCGCTGCAGGCGCGACTGCGGGAGGTGAGCCGCCGAGAGGGCGCCCTGGGCTGGGCCCCAGTCGCGCCGCTGCTCAAGGACGACCCCGAGGGGGACCGGGACGGCGGCGTCATCACCAGGATTCTCCTGTAGGGGACTGGCCACTTCCCAACCCCAGGCCGTCTCTTCTCCGACCTAGGCCTTCAGCCCCCGCTGTGACCGAGGCCTGGCCAGCGGCCGCTACTCACTTGGAAGCTCCCGCTAACTGTAGCGCTTTCCACGCCCTAAAGCTTCAGCTTAAGAAGCATTTCGAAGCCAAAGCAGAACCAAAACTCACTTCCACAGGGTCACCTGAGGTGCCTGGGTAGCCTTTCGTGGGCATGCATCCAGAGGATAGGGTGGCACACTTGACACTGGAGAGTTCCAGCAGCTCCGTGAACCCACACCACCCAGTGTCATGACGGCTTAAGGCTGGGAACCTGAACCTGGTGACTTTGAAAGGATAGCGCTTCATTCCATACCAAAGACTTATTATATCACGTGCCTATACACCCAGCCCAAAGTAGAGGGTGTACGGAAATGAGAAACCTTTTTACCCCCAAAAAGAGTTCCTAATGCATAATCTGCCCAACATCAAGTTCTGAAGGGGGAAGAGGGGAACATGCCCTCTAGTTTCCCTGACTGCCCTAGCACTCTTCGGGGCAGTCCCAGAGAGCCCCCCTTTTTACTCCCCATTATTCAACCAATACCAGGTGCACTCTGTCTCCCCTCGGCCATCCTTTCCTTGCTTCTGACCCAATGACAAGTGTGGCACCTATGTCCACTTTCGGGCCTCATATCTGCCACTTTGTCAAGACATCACCTTATCCCCTCACTAGGAAGAGCGTTTCTTCCCCACATGTCATCATAGTCCTCACCTCTGGGCCAAAGGAGAAAGCAACCCTCTCACTTAAGGCCACATCTTCCTGTCATTTTCCATCCCATTCCTCTGCCATGTTTACTGGGTCTTTCCTCCTGTTATTCACCCCTTTCTCTGTCTCAGTCCCTCCCTTTCCCCCAGGCTCTTCTTCCTCAGCAATGCTCAGTCTCCCTTACTGAAAAGACTCAACCTGGAAGGGCCAGCAAGTCCTTGCCACCTATACTTCCTCCCGTTTTTACTCCTTCACTCTGGGTCAGTTTTCTATGCTACATTGAACTATTTATTTCCAAGCCGCCACAATCTCCCAGTGACCAAATAATGATGGTCTGTTTGCTGTCTTCATTTTGCTTAATCTCTCCCTTCTTGAAATTGCTCCCTTGGTAGGTGGATCCTGTTTTCCTCCAAAGAATTCCTGTTGTGTACTGGTTCTCAGTTTTTCCACAGGCCTCTTTTTCTCATTTTTTTTTATATTGAAAAATTCCACACATTCAGAAAACGCTGAAAGGCTAGCACAATGAATACTAAGATACATACCCTCCACCCGGATTGAATGGTTGCTAACAGTTTGCCAGATTTACTGTTCTCTCCACCTCATGCATGTGTACATATAATGGCATTTCACCCTATTTCTGCACAGATTTCCTGAGAACAAAGACATACCTAAAAATATAAACAGTAACTTCTTTATAGCCTCTAATATAGCGCCCTTAATCAGTGTTCAACAACTGTCTCCAGAATGTTTGTCTTGAAAAAAAAACAACACCACCAGGTCAAATCAATGTTCATACATTCTTTTGGTTTCAACTCTTCCGTCACGTTTAGCATAGAACAACCCCAACATATTTTCCCATGACACTTTTGAAGCATCCAGGCCAGCTGTCTTAGCAAATGTCCTCTATTCTGGATGTGTCTGATTGCTTCCTTAGGCCTATGTCTACACTCCACTTGTGGCACATCTCCCTGCAGAGGTGTGATCTCCTCTGGGCCAGGGACTGTTGAATATCTTCAGGCCGAGTGCTCTCCCCGGGCCTGGTCCTTCATGCCCAAACCCTTGCTGCCTGTCTCCACCTGTCCTTGCACATCCTGCCTCTACAAGTAGGAGGGCCAAATCTATTCAACCCCACATCCCACCCCTCACCTGATAACTAACATTTACTGGGCACTAACAATGTATCAGTCACATATTACACACTTAACATGCATTAATTATCTCATTTTACTCTCACACAGCAGCTCCATGGTAACACTGCTAGCTTTACAGTGTTTAAGGAAACTGAGCTCTAGTTAAGTAGCCTGTGCAAGACCACAGCTGGCCAGCAGTAGAAGTGGGATCCCACCGCAGACAGTCTCCCCCACAGATGCCATGCTGCCACTGTACCACCATGTACTACTTTCGGAGAGCGCTGCTTCCCTCAGTCAACGCAGCTGACACCTGTTTCCTCCTAACTCCAACTAATTAATTCCAGTTAATTGAATTGACTGGAATTAGTGACATTAATATTTACTGAGCATTCACCATATGTCATCAGAGGTGTGCTAAATGCTTTACTACAATTACCTGCCATGAAGCAACCCCATGACATAGGTGCTACTATGCCCATTTTGTAGATGAGACAAGTTCAGGGGAGTTAGTAACACCTTCAAGTCACACAGCGGCTAAGAGTCTGTGTGGGGTTTGAACTGTGGTCTCACTGAATGCTGGGTGCCTGCTCTGCTAAGTCTGTACAAAATACTGCACTGCCTTCCTGATGCCTGCCAAGCTCAGGGCCCATTTATCATGCATCTTCCCATCCTTGTTTCGCCCAACTGTCCCTTACCTGAGTCACAATTTGGCCAAAGCCAAAGGGATTGTCCTAAGCCAATACTGATTTATTGTATCACTCTTCCTGCCCAAAAGCCTCCAAGATCACCTGTCAATCACCTCATTAGAGTGCAAGCTCTGACTCTGTCACGTGACATTCAAGTCCCCCTCAGCCCCCATGCCACTCTTATTGTCCCTTTCCCTACATATGCTCTATGCTCCAGCCAAATTGGATTCTGTTCTTCCTGACATGACCTGGTATTGGCAACTCTATGCCTCAATTTGCCTTCCCTCCACTTTAAAAAGCCCCTTCAGTCTCTTGGTACAAAAAAAGAAAAATCCCACCCATTTTCTCAAACCACGCTTTCCTTGATTTACTCTCATATGAAGACATTTCTTACTTCTCTGGCCTCCTAGCATTTTATGTCCCACAACCCTTAGAACAGGTCAGCTAGTGTATGGCTATGGGTTTGTACCTTACCTCCCCTGCCAGACCCTGAGCCCTTGGGGGAAGTATACTCACCCCACTCCCACAGTGCCTTGCAGTCCATAGCTGCTCAATACATATTTGAGGTGCTAAACCCATTCAGTGTCGAAGATTTTTACAAATTAGTTTTCCTGTAATTATTAATATAATCATTTATCTTTAATTCTGAGTAAAAAAAACGAATAGCTTAAAAGGAAATAATTTTTTTAACTGTTTAGTTAGGAAAGATTTAATGCATCAGTTATTGGGCTGTTTGGTTTGATCCAATCAACCAACTATTCTGGTATGTAAATGTACTTTGTTATTATACAAGTAACACAAAACATATTGTCTCAATCTAGGAAGAAGAACAGAAAAAAAATACCCCAAAGTCCTGTCACCTCTGTAAAACTGCTATTAACATTTTAATAGCGTTTAATCTTTTGTATTTTGCAATTTTTAGATTACTCTAGTAATAGAATAAATTACTTTCAAGTACTGGAATTTAACTTCTCCATATGGACTTATAAATTGAGCTAGATGATCTGAACTTCCTGTTTAGAAGAAAAAAAAAAACCTTCCACAAATGTTAATCTTCTATTTCATCAATTGTAAAAACCATTAAAACATAGCAAAGATTTACTTTCAGAGTCTTACTTCCTCAAAGATGGCTAGTGTGAGCCTGAATGTCCTGTTGAGGAGATAGGAGAGAACAATTAACCTGAGTGCTGAGTTAAGGGAAGATGCTTTTACTTTCTGCTTTATACACTTCTGCCTTGTAATTTTTTACACTAAGTATGAATTACTTTTATCATAAAAAAAAATTTGTTTGCAGAAAAAAAAAGTCCTTTCCTTCAGCATTCATCTTCCTTAGTTAAAATCTCCAACACAGGCTGGGCGCGTGGCTCAAGCCTGTAATCCCAGCACTTTGGGAGGTCGAGGCGGGTGGATCACGAGATCAAGAGATCGAGACCATCCTGGTCAACATGGTGAAACCCCTTCTCTACTAAAAATACAAAAAATTAGCTGGGCATGGTGGTGCGTGCCTGTAATCCCACCTACTCGGGAGGCTGAGGCAGGAGAATTGCCTGAACCCAGGAGGCGGAGGTTGCAGTGAGCCGAGATCGCGCCGTTGCACTCCAGCCTGGGTAGCAAGAGCGAAACTCCGTCTCAAAAAAAAAAGGTCTCCAACACAAGCATGAATATAATCCCCATTTCCAGAAAATCCTAGATCGAAATGCAGCCCTTGTCCACCAACTCCATCACTTGACAGATGAGGTAAACAGGTCCCAGAGAGTGACTTGTCCACCGTCAGGAGATGGTGGCTGTGGCCTGTCATCTGACTCCAGCCTACTTAATGGGTTTCTGCCTCTGGCCTTGAGGGCTCCTACTACTCACCTGAAACCATTCCCATGGAACCCAGAAGAGCAGGTTCCCTGGGGGGATTCCTGAGAAAACCTACACCCAAGCCTCAGAGATCTGCCAAGACATTCCCTTTCCAATAGAACTATTTAATATTTTTCTATCAAATAGTTGCCAAATGAGCTGCTCCTGTCAAAACTCAGTATGACTTGTGACTACAAAGTAATCTGATGAATCCCAAAAGTATATACAAATCTACCCATCTAAGTCATTTTCTCTTCAAAGTGAAAGACCTGGAAGACTATACAGTTATTCCCAAAATGCTTAAACATTTCTGGAACTCCTCTTTTAGAGTGGCCATGAGTCCCTAGCACATTTTTAAAAACATCCTTGAGTTGGCAAATACTCATCTTTCCATGATAAATTTGATTTTTTAAAAGAGCTGCCAGTTACTCAGAGTCTGGTGAATATGGTAGATGATTACCAGATTAACATTTCTGGTTAATAAGGTGAGATTATAATAAAACAATGATAATTATTTTAGTGTGGCTCATAAATTGGTCTTGATAGTGGTATATTAAGGTTAAGTAAAGGCAGCATGGTCACTGTAGAGATTAAAGCCCATTTTAGTTGGTTTATGATGTGAATGAATTCAGGTAGCACTGGGAGTCATTATATGTTTAAATAGTATTAAATGTTTCTTTTTATGAAAATCTTATGACATTCTCTGAAATCTGGTTTCACAGTATTAAAATGAGGCTTTAAGGAAAAACATTAAATGGTAATGAAAGCTTTATTCTTTCAGTATATATTCTCATGGGCTTTTGGTCAAGATAAGTAATGACCAGATGAATGAGCTGGCAACCTTCTGCCCTCTGAAGTCTATTAGTAATTGGAAGCTAAGTAAAACGTTGTCACATGTTTAAATACATTTGATAATATTCCACAGCTTCCCTGTATTCTTCGTGCTGGGCAATGAAATACCATAGCATTTTAACATAGATGAAGAGTGAGTTTTTTAAAGGAAGAATTCCAAAAGGTCATTCTTGGCTGGGCACGGTAGCTCAGGCCTATAATCCCAGCACATTGGGAGGGCCAAGGTGGGAGGATTACTTGAGTGTAGGAGTTGAAGACCAGCGTAGGCAACATAGGGAGACCCCATATCTACAAAAAAATTAAAATTTTTAACTAGATGTGCTAGTACATACTTGTCATCCCAGCTACTCAGAAGGCTGAGGTGGAAGGATCACTTAAGCCTGGGAGGTGGAAGCTGCAGTGAGCTATGACCATGCCACTGCATTCTGGAGCCTGGACAATAGAGGAAGACCTTGTCTAAAAAAAAAAAAAGACATTCTTACATAGCAGGCAAACATTGTTCACCTCCAGCCACATTAATTTTCCCATCTGTGTCTGCTCTTCACCCTCCAGAGACTTTTTGATTTACACGTTCTCCTTCACCTCCAGTTTCCAGTGACCTGATTCCTGTTGCATTTTTTTGTATAGTCATGACTTGCACAATACAATTTTTTTTTTTTTTGGTATAGTCATGCACCACACAACATTTCAGTCTATGACATATGACACATACAATGGTGGTCCCTTAAGATTATAATACTGTTTTTTTACTGTACTTTTTCTATGTTTAGATATGTTTTGATATACAAATACTTACTGCGTTAGAATTGCCTACACTATTCAGACCACAGAATGCTGTACAGGTTTGTAGCCTAGGAGCAGCAACTGGTATACCATATAGCCTAGGTGTGTAATAGGCTGTACTGTCTAGGTTTGTGTGATTACCTCTACGATGTTTGCACAATGACAAAACCACCACTGAGGCATTTCTCAGAACATATCCCCATCTGTTAAGTGATACATGACTGTACTTAGTGCTCAGATTTAGAACTGTAGAACCCAGATGTCTGAGCACATAGAGGACATACATAATTGAACAAGGGGCTGCAGCCTCAATGAGGTCCCGTTTGTTGTCTACATACCCAGAACTCTCAAACACATAACTAAAAAGATTTTGAAGGCAGAGTTTTATAAGAGTCCCATAAATAGATATGGTTTGGAAACAAACTGAAAACATTAAGAAAAAAACCCAATCCTTCCCCCAACACATACTCCACCCAAATTTTGGCTTTAAAACTTTGGAATGAACAGAAACTATTTTGGATTAATATTCTTTGAAACTATCATGGCCTGCATGTATTATTTGGACTTTACATTCTGCCAAATCCTATCTAAAAAATAAATGTAAGCTTCATGAAGGCAGGGAGCCTTGCCTGTTTTGTTCACTACTGTATCCCTAGTGCCTAGAACAGTGCCTGGCCTATGCTACGTGCTTCATGACTATTTGCTGAATTAATGTATGTTGTTGAAAGATTTTTACATATGGGGATCTGAAATCTAGTTTTTCTAAGAATTCTTCTGTAGCTCCCGTGCTCCCATGGAGTACTGAGAGCCAGGGTTGTCTGGCTAGATCTCCCTATCATTCCACCAGATGACTCCATTTCCAAAGTCATGTAGAATCCATTCCTCCTTTGAGGATTATGAGAGTCACCTACAATAACTTCTATCCTTTCTCACTATTGTCTACCAATTTCCTGCTCATTCTCCAATATTCACTTAAAAATCCAGCTCCTGACTGAGTCTTCTTGTCCACACCTATCTCCTATTGCCTTGGGGAATGGTGATGACCCATCTACTTGCTAGCCTCATTCCTTGTCCTACCTGACTTCAGTAACCTCCATCTCTACTCTGGGATTCTACTCCTACAACCATGTCCTTGGCATTGCTACCATGGGTAATAACAGTGCTAATAATCACTAATATTTGAGGGCTTATTATGTGTCAGGCAGTGTGCTCAGTGCCATACAAACCTTATCTCAATCTTCACCAAAACTTGAAACCACCTTTGCAGAAATTATGACAGTAAAAGAGATTTGCCATGACTCCATCTTGCTTCTAACTTCCAAGCTGTCCTTAGTCATTCCTGGGCAAAGACCAAACTAACTTTCAGAGGAACTTAGTTTATTTTAACTTTGAAACCAAGATGGTAACAACGCTTTCCTGAAACAAACCCCCTTCTTGCCTGGGGACCAGACTGCCTTTGTAAGACTGACAAATTAGCCACAAGATTAGAAATTATTGTTTAGGAGTTATGCAACCAGAGGCCACAAGATTTGAACCTCTCCAATTGCTCCTAGGGATAAAATCACTTTTGTAAAACCTAAGATTGGTGGCTGAAATATCTTTCAGACCTTGCATTCTGATGCACCAGCTGGAGCCACCCAGATTGATAATCTGGTTCAACCAGTCCTGGCTCACCCAGGAACAGAAGACAGCAAGAAGAACCCACTTTGACGTCCTATTATTTCAACTCTGACCAAACCCATCAGTACTCCCCACTCTCCTAGCCCGCTACCTGCCAAATTATCCTTTAAAAAAAAAAAATTTTTTTTCAGGGAGACCGACTTGAGTAACAAAACTCCAGTCTCCCACTTAGCCAGCTCTGCGTGAATTAAACTCTTTTTCTATTGCAATTCTTGTCTTGATATATCGGCTTTATCTGGGCAGCAAGCAAGGAGAACCCAATGGGCAGTTACAAACTCCATAGAAGACACTTGGGTGGAGAGGTTCAAATAAATTTTTAAAGGTCACTCAGCTTGAAAGTGGTGAAATTTTAATTTAAATCCAGGTCAGTCAGACTCTTCAGCCTGTGCTCTTAATCATCCCTTGGGATGGAAAGAATCAAGATAGAAACCCCAGGCCTGCCACTTCTGTCACATAGGCTTTTTTACTTTGAGCAAAATAAAAACCTCCTAAGCCTCAATTTTCTAATTCATAAAATGGAGTCCAGAATAAAGAATATATGTTAGGGACCTAGCACAGTGCCAGATGCAACACAAACGTTCATTCCACCCATTCCACCAGCAAATGCTTATTGAGGACCTCCCATGCATCCAATCCTGTGCTAGGTGCTGAAGACAGAGTAGTCAGTAAGACATAGAAGGTTCCTGCCTTCCAAGATGTGCACAGCACTAGGTGGATGCTCAACAAATATTTGAACAAACTCTCAGAGAGGTCATCCTACTCTCAAGATTTCCAGCCACCACTCTGCCTCCTTTCAATCAACCACAGTTTTCTGCTATAAAGCAATCTAATGAGGTTCCTTTCCTGCTTACAATCCTTCAGTATATTTCTCATTGTCTCAGAGATAAAACCCTTCATTTCTTAATTGTGTAAATTTCTTAACACAATGTACAGTTATGACCACAGGTAAGAGGCTCAGTTTTGTTCACCCCTTCTTTGTTACGCAATCGAGCCTATTTGGAAGCTTGAACTGCAAACCAGATGAATGTAGACCTATTGTAGTTAATGAGCCTGAGAACTGGAGTCACACAGTTTGGCATCCTAAACTCTCCCCATCTCACACACAAACATAGATTCACACAGCTGCAGCTCCTAAGGCAATGCAATGAGTTCCATGAAAAGATCTGAAATCTAATTGTAGGACATAGCCTATTAGTGCATTATGAAATCAATTTAGTGGATGCAACCAGCAATGTGGAAAACAAGAGTCCATTACATGAGCTAATGGCAAAGTACTGGTATACAAAATCTATGCTACACATGCTATGAACATGCTTGTATACTGAATTATAATATAAATTGTATTCATATTGCAGATCATGATCAAAATAGTTTGAAAGCTCTGTGTAGCCTCAGTTCCCATGTGTCTTCAGTCACCGCTTGATAAAACTCCATCAAGCCACTTGCAGTTACCTATTGTTTGCTTCAGTGCCTGTGGGTGTATATCAGATGGGGGGCTAGGCCCTAGGGAAGCAATAGTAAGCATAACCAAAGTCCTGCTCACATGGCACTTAGAATCTAGAGAAACAGACAAATACTACACTAACCACACTAATACATAACAGTGAACCAAGCTAAGTGGTCTAAATGAAAGAAATTGTTTTTCAAAAACACAAATCAAAAGCAATTAATCTAATCCAGGGCTTCAAGGGAGGCATCCCTAAAGATTTAATCAGCAGAGACCTAAAGACCATGTGAGAATTCACTTGGTAAAATAGGGGAGGAAGAGCATTCCACATATAATGCAATGTAAGAGTCTCCATGATCAGAGAAGGCAGCTTTGTTTCACAAACTGGAAAAAAAAAAAAAAAAAAAAAAAAAAAAAGCCAGCATGCTAGGGCCCAGAGAACAAGTAGGGTTACACAAGTTGAGACTGGGAAAGCTGGCAGTGGCCAGATCCTTTAGGATCTTATGGCCTCAAAGTAATGGGAAGCCAAACAGGAGACGATGAGATAGGAGTTCTGACCCTCATAATAATTCAGGTTAGTGGTGACAGTGAACTGATTTAACATGTTGGAAACAGACAAAGGGGAGAAAAGCTGGTAGTAGTGAAACAGAGGCTGACTTAGGCTTCTGGCTCACACAACTGGATGGATGATGTTAGCAGCCGGAGAGAGTAAACTAGAAGAGACGAGGTTTGGAGAGGATTACAGAGTTCGTCTTGGAGTTGCATTTAAAGCGACTCTGAGGTGGATATGTAGGTCGTAAGCTCAGAATCAATACCCCAAGACAGCCTAGAAGTCATGAGTTTATAGATGGTAAATGAAACTGGGTATACATATGAGAAAAATGCCTGGGTCTGAGCCATGAAGGCCTCCCCACTTCTGGGTAAATTCTTACCACAAATGTGTATATACACATACATTAACCACACACTTATACCTGTTTACTTTTAAGTTCAAATATAGAAACAATAAAATAAAAAATGAAAGTTTGCTCACTGGGTAATTAGCAACTCAATATGTACCTTTATAATAAAAATGGAATTATGTCATATGTGCTTTGCTACAATCTGCTTTTTAAAATCAGCAATCTAGTGAGATATTCTTCTATACTAGGGTATAGGCAGTTCTATCTTATTCATTTGAATGGCTGGAAAGTATTACATAGTAGGGATGCATCAACATTTAAGCAACCCTCTAGTCCCCACTGATGGACAGGTACGTTATCTAACAATTACCAACATGCCCATTCAACATCCACTGCCCCCTTCTGCCTGGTTCACTGAACATATTTTGTTCCAATGGCAACATTCTCAGCTGTAAGTGATGGTTCATGATTGGCTTAAGCCAAATGAATCTTGTTGCCTACTTTTATAACATCTCTTCTATGGGCAGCCATGCTATCAGGTTCTGGCTAATGACCCTAAGAAGTCAGCTTCTGAGTAAGCTTTTGTTTTCCTAAAAAAAAAAGAGAACTAGCACTTCACACTGCTCTTTCCTCTTTCTGCTTTAGGTATGAATATGACGTCTAACGTTTCAAAAGCCATTTTGCAACTACAAGGCCATAAGCCAATACTAAGATTAGTAAAGCAGAAAACCAGAAGAGACAGCCCGGACCCTGAAATACACAGAAATATACTAACCACTGCCTCGCTTTAAAGAATCAAAACGCATTTCCACTTTAAAGGCTGAAAAAGTAAAATGAAATGTTTTGAACCAAAGATTCAGAGCAGAAAAATAAGTGATGCCACACTAACAAGAGAAGCACACTTAGAACAAGAAGGTGTGGAAAGTACTTTTAACTATTCCTGAGACTGCCTTTGGGTGTTGGGTCCACAAGTGCTTTCTGGACCCCTGCCAAGAACATCCCTGTGTCTTGCAACTTTACAGAATGGCTTTTGTATGCAATCTCCAAGACTCCTGCTTTCCCTTCTTTGAGATTTCTTTCTTCTTTGCCTGCTCTTTAAAAATATGTGAAATTAAGAAATAATCTTTTGGACAGGCACGGTGGCTTATGCGTGTAATCCCAGCACTTTGACAGGTCGAGGCAGGCAGACCACCTGAGGTCAGGAGTTGGAGTCCAGCCTGGCCAACATGGTGAACCCCGTCTATACTAAAAATATAAAAATTAGGCGGGCATGTTGGCATGTGCATGTAATCCCAGCTACTTGGGAGGCTGAGGCACGAAAACGGCTTGAACCCAGGAGGCAGAGGTTGCAGTGAGCTGAGATTGCACACTGCACTCTAGTCTGGGCAACAGAGAAAGACTCTGTCTCAAAAATAAAAAAATTAAAACCATAAAAAAATCTTAAAAGTCAGAAGGTTTTTGATTTGCATAAACCATTACTTTCTATTCGTTCAGAATAAAAATGAAACATCGGAAGTAACACTTTTTTCAAAAGCAGAAAAGAATTCTTATTTTTGAGAACAAGAGTGCTTCCTCTATTTAACACTGGAAAAAATTTCTATTTACTCTAATGTTGAAGGTTTCTTCTGTTCTCATCTTTGCCAGCTTCTCATGTTGTGGCAAAAATATTAGATGTTAGATTTCTTAAAATTCAGGAACTTGCAGCTCCACTTAAAATACACACTTAAAAGCTACTCAGAAAATGCATAGTGTGAATAAACAAATATTTAAAATATTAGACACAAAAAATTTATGCATAATTCAAACTGTACATAATTCACATTTACGCTTCTAAACAAATAGAAGCTCACATCTGTACTACTTTTACAATTTACAAAGTGCTTTTATATACATTTTCTCATTTGCTATTCGAGACAGACATGTGAGATAAACATTATTCTTATTTTACAAATGGAAATAGACCCAGACATTATTCAGTACTTTAACCACTAATAGTGGAACCCTGAGACTTTAGATCTGCCAAGGGGTTTAATAATGCAAATATCACATATAGTTTCATTTTTAACACCATACTTAAGTTTTCCATTTTCTTAACAGTAGAAAATGATTAAAAAAAATTTTTCCCCAATATAATACAAATGGTAAATATCAGACAGTCATATACTAACCCAACGCATAAGATTCACCAGAAGCAAAATCTCTCTGGGGAGGGTCCTATATTACATATATACAGGGCACCAGCACCAGAACCACATTTAGACTAATCATTTCCAATGAAAAGAAAACAATGCAGGGCATTCCTGTGGCCTGCAAGCCTAATTGTACATATGTATGTGTCAGACTATGCAGGGGGCTAAGAAGAATTCAAAGAAATATTTTATCCAAATTTGGAGTTTAGGGCCTGATTGTCCCAGCTTAAGGGACATACCTCTCATTTTCAGTCATAGTTTCTCTTTCTCCATCCCCTTTTCTCCCTAACTACCCTGTGCCATTAAGACTGGAAACTCTAACAGGTAGCTTTTACTTTCTGAATGATCTTTACTACTGTATGATTTTTTTCAGAATAGTCCTTATTTCTACATCTTGAAGACATTTCTTTATAGTAGATAGGGAGGCTAGAGTTCACATTCACTGCCAGAAAAGGGTCAGTTCCACTGTTAATTTCCCAGCAAACACCTGAGAGAAAAACTGAACAGAATAATGATAGCTGGCAGAGCAGTGACACCTGCACCCAGAAAGCTGCACTGCAAGTGTCTAATCTTTGAGGCTCTCCTTTGTTATAACTGCCAATTTTAAGTAGCAATTTCTGGCTGGTTGCAAATTCAAAGCAGATCAATACATTTAAATCACTGGTTCAACAAATCACTTTTTTTAATGTTATAATGTTTTTATTGCAACTGAGGATATTTTCAATAAATATCTTGAGCTGTAGGCCCTGGCTAAGTATTCCTTTTGTACTAGAAATCAGATTTCTCTGGCACAACTCCATTGCCTGCAATGGTATTTATCAAAACTACAAAACACACTATTGCAATAAGGATTCAGTTGTTCATAACTAAATATCTCATTAGCTATGAAACAAACCAAATATAAATGCTGAATATAGTACAAATCAACAGATTCTTCACAGAAGAAAACAATGAAAGATTAATTTTCTACAACATGTTGCCTGTTCATTAGTTCTTCAATAATATTACTTAGGCTATTTCAAGGATAACAAAATGTATGCACCACTACCCATGTTTTCTCAACATTTATCATCCAGGTTCTAAAGGGCACAGATAATGATGCATATAGTCAGATTTATTTTTATAAACTTTTGATGTTTCTTTTGTTGTGCATCTTACATGAATATATACAGACAAAAACAGATGTACATTTAAGTCATTAGTTATACGAATTTTGCTTAGCTAGTTGCTTTATATGGATGTTGTAAATGACAAGATAAAATAATGAAGTTTGATAAACTCATCCGTGCCCTGTGAACTTTAGTCTACTTACTGCATAAATGGACTCAGTCACTATTTACTAGTTTAAAAAAATAGTTTTTAAAAGCTGCAAACCATACGTTATTACACATTTCTGAATCAGGAAGAGGTAAACTATGACCCAGTTCGCCCATGCTGCTGATTCTTTTGGGAAGAAAAAATAAGAGTCTCCAAACTCTCTTTTTAAAAAAGCTAGAGTTTTCTTCTATGATTAACCTTTACTCTAAAGTCCCTTTTACCCAAGGTATGGTCACTGGGTCATCTTTTTGAGGTTTAGTTTCTGCGAAGTTTTCAGTAAACCGCTCTCGTGCTTTGTCCCAGTTTTTTTTGTTCTTGTTTTGAAGAAGGTGAACATCTTCAATTGAGGATGGTTTGCCTGTCCCCAAGCCTGCATGTGTTCGCCGAAGCTGAAGCTGGATCTATTACCAAAAGTTGAGCAAAGGACTTATTTTAGAGTGTAAACACATTAAAATCTATTGTCCAACTTAGGACTCTACAATTTTTTGATTTATTAAAGACTGATGCAAAAGAAAACCTGTCAAATGCATCAAATACATACAAGAATATATGTATCTTTATACATGAAACTTACACTCATTTTTCTACATTGCCTTGCCTGTCAGTAAGTGCAGCCTACTTTACAGAAAGTAGAGTACTCCTTAACCAGCAATCACCAAATTTCATTTAGATGCTGCAGAGTATGTCATTCTACCTTAACCAGAAATAATGGCAATGGATAGGTTTAAGCCTACTGCCCTATCCTTACCTAAGTAAGTGAAAGAGCAGGTTAAATATTAATAACCATAAAGAGAATCTGATTATTTTTGCAACAGGAGGAGAGCACTTCTCAATATTTTAAGAACATTCAACATCTATGATTTGAACTCAGACCTGGAACAAGTAAACTCAGTGAATATTTATAGAATTCTTCACACCAGGTCTACAGAATATACATTTTTCTCAGTATCACATTACACCTATTTTGAAAGTGACCAGATAATTGAAAGTAAATCACTCTTCAGCATTTGCATAGCATTTCACAAACTTAAATGAAATATTGGTTGGCTGTTTGTTTGTTATTTTCTTCCCTTATTTCTTCCTGTCTCCACTGTTAAGCACAATTATCGGCATAAAAGAGGTTTTTAATACCTATTTTTAGATTGCATCCCAGCCTGGGCAATAGAACAAGACTCCTGTTCTCTCTCCCTCTTTCTCTTTCTCTTTCAAAAATAAATAAAATAAAATCATAAATGGTTGTTGAACTTTGTAAAATACTTCTGCATCTGTTGAGAAAATCATGTAATTATCCTCCTTTACCATTAATATGCAAAATTACATTAATAGAGTTTTCTAATGTTGACAACTGGAAAAAAAATATCTTAAGAACATTCAAAGCTACCATTTACTGAATGCCTAATATAAGGTACAATGCTTGGGGCTTTATCTTCAACACAACCCTGAAAAAGAGTTCTTATCCCCATTTCTTCATAAGAAAATTCATGTCCGAACTTGCCTAAAGTCACACAGCTCACAAATGATAGAGCACATATTCTAATCTAGATCTGACTACAAAACCCTTGTTCTTTCCACTGTACCTCAATAAAAATGAGAAAACTGGTATATATTCACATTGATCCATCTATTATTTCTTTAGGTACTAAGTAATTATCCAGAAAGTTCTTCAGTCAGGTTACTTCTTAAGGTTTGTGTGAAAGATAACCAAACCTCCTATGAACCACGAGACTATTAAGTAAACCACTCTGTCGTTTCCCAGACATTATTCTCTGTATTCCATGTTACATGCTCTGATTCTTGAACCTAATCGATTTTTCAGCTCATACAGAATCCGCCTGTTTGTACACTAACACTGTGATTATTCTTGAATGCTCAGTACCAGGCACAATAAGACAGTTATTAAAAACAACTCTAAAACACAGAAGAACCTTTGGCTCAGGAAACGCACTTCTTATCCTAGTTTTAATGCAGGAAAAACACTCAAAAAGAGGCTTTTGAAAATTGTAACACACAAAACAAAACAAAGTTATGTGTATACATTTGGCAATTGTGAATGCTACAAAGGCAGCAATCATGTCTGTTTTTGCTTTCCACTATATTCTTAGCACTTAAGACAACATCTGGCACATTAACGTACACAGTAAATGTCTGCTCTAGGAATAAATGAATGAAATAAAATGCAAGTCTTACCGGAGTTTTCATTCCTCCACCATCCTTTCCCAGGCCCTCTCCTTTTTTCCAACCCATCTTCTCCAACATCTTCCGACCTTTGTTGCTATCAGTAATTTCACTTTAAGGAATATTAAAATGAGAGTTGATTTGCAAAAGATCTTTTAGGTCACATTTATAATAAATTCATGAATTAAACGTAACTGGTACAACTACTTTAGAAAACTGCTTGGCATTACCTAACAAAGTTGAAGACATACAAATTCCACTGGTACAAATCCTATTTAGAAAAGCATGTGCAGGTGCACCAAAAGACACACATAACAATGTTCCTCCAGCAAATCCAATAGCAACAAATCAGAAACAATCCAAATGTCCGGCAATAGTTAAAATGGAGAAATTGTGGCATATTCATACAGAAGAATATTATTCAGTAATAAAAATAAACCATACCTAACAAAATAATGTCTATATTCTTCTCTAGAAACAAAATAATTACTGAATTATTCAATGTCTTTAAAATTTTAAAATAAGTGAAATTAATCTGTTGCTGTCAGGAAGGTAATTACCTTTGGGGAGGAGAGCAGGATAGTGATTAGGTGGGGCACAAAGAGGATAAGCTTCTGGGGCGACTAATAATTTTCTATTTCTTGTCCAAGAAATGTATATTCAGCAATATGTTAATCTTATGATTTATTATTGAGGTACATACTTAGAATTTGTGTATTTTCCTGTACATGTTATAGATTAAAAAGTTAAAATGAAATAAAACCTCGTAATCACTATTTGCATTTTGTCCATTATTCTGTATTCTAATTTAAGAGTATTTTATGTCTATTACATTATCTTTTCAGGTCCACAAAATATGCTGTTAGCCCTTCAATTAATAACCGAGCAATGTCAAACCATTGTGTTTTATTTTAAATTTGTCTTATTTAATTCAAATGTACTCTTTATATTTTCCAAGATTATGTTTTATATATTAAACTTAAAAAAAAGCGTCATGTCCCAGTACTTTGGAAGGCCAAGGTGGGTGAATCACAAGATCAGGAGTTTTAGACCAGCATGGCCAATATAGTGAAACCTCGTCTCTACTAAAAATACAAAAAATTAGCCAGGCGTGGTGGCAGGCACCTGTAGTCCCAGCTACTCAGGAGGCTGAAGCAGGAGAATTGCTTGAACCCAGAGAGAGTGTGCAGTGAGCTGAGATCACACCACTGCACTCTAGCCTGGGCAATAGAGCAAAACTCAGTCTCAAAAAAAAAAAAGGGTGTAATGCTGCTTTGTAGCCTATATTTTGTAATCTCTATTTCATCAAATAAAATGTCGGTGATAGATCAGACTCCATCAACTCTAAGGTACACCATTATTTATGTAGCATTAAGAAAAAATTGTTGCAATTAGTAACCATAAAACTCTTATAGTCAATGAAACATGATATTTAATCAAAACTTTGTAAGTTATAGTTTTACATGAAAAATTTATTTTAACTAAACTCAAAATTTATATTCTGAGGAAAAAAAAATGTAGCTAATATTTGATTAAAAATAGAAAAATGATCATACTGTAAGCCCTCAAAATCACCTGTTTCATTTTTATCAAAACTACTTTGCCAAGAGAAAAATGAATCAGAGAAAAATAAATACGAAAAATATTTCAGGGTCATTAAGAAGAAAAGTACTTGAGTATTTAAAATAATTATTAAAAAATACCAGTCCCAGCTGGGCATGGTGGCTCAAGCCTGTAATCCCAGCTGCTGGGGAGGCTGAGGCAGGAGAATTGCTTGAACCCAGGAGGCAGAGGTTGTGGTAAGCCAAGACTGTGTCATTGCACTCCAACCTGGGCAACAAGAGTGAAACTCCACCTCAAAAAAAAAAAAAAAAATACCAGTCCCATACCAAGTTCTTACTTGGTATACTCACTCAACTGTGTGGCTCAACTGTTAACATAATACACGTGTGCTTAAGTACGGGTGTTCATGTATACGCTCAGCAATTTTTTAGGAGATAATGGAATTCTAAGATTAGAGGAAGGAAATAAACAGACTTAGTGTCTCCATTTTGTTGTGAAAGCATTCATTTAAAAGCCACCTATCAGTCTGGTGTGGTGGCTCATGCCTATAATCCCAGAACTTTGTGAGGCTGAGGCAGGCAGATCACAAGGTCAGGAGTTCAAGACCAGCCTGCCAACATGATGAAACCTCATCTCTACTAAAAATACAAAAATTAGCTGGGCGTGGTGGCATGCATCTGTAAACCCAGCTACTTGGGAGGCTGAGGCAAGAGAATCACTTGAATCCAGCCTGGGCGACAGAGTGAGACTCTGTCTCAAAAAAGAAAGTAAATAAATAAAACTAAAGGCCACCTATCAGGATATATAGCCCTATATATCGGACCACCCTATGAATGTGATTATGAACAAAGGATGTTTCAAACCCCTGCAATTCAAAACTTACGAATGAACAGATGCAGGCGCATCATCTCTTTGGAAAGTTCCTTCACTTCCAATCTGCTCCCTACGTTTTCCAGCTCTATCTTTATATTTTGGATTCTTCAATGTCTTTTCATCTTCATATACTGTATTCTTAATAAACACAAAATATTCATTGAGGAAAAGAAAGCTGATAAATAAAATAGAATTTCTGTACATGTACCTTACTAAATATGGTTCAATGTGGCCCTATAAACAATTAAATAAAAAACCAGCTATGATATGAAGAAATTACTGGGTGTGGTGGCTCATGCCTGTAATCCTAGCACTTTGGGAAACTGAGGCAAGAGGAAAGCTAGAGGCCAGGAGTTTGAGACCAATGTGAGCAATATAGCAAGACCCCCATCTCTACTTGATTTACATTAAAGTCATAAAAAAAAAAAGATATGAAGAAATTATATTAGATATGCTACTTTTATTCTATTCCCTTTAAATTGTTTGTATTATTTCAAGTTATGGCAACATACTTATAAATAAGAAATTAATATGGTGAAAATATAGTACATTCTGACTTAATGCTGTGTTCTCATCTTGTCATAGGAACTACTAGTATTCAAATAAAAATACAGAATCCCTGGGGTTAGGAAAAAAATCTATCTCCCCTTTTCTCTAAGGAAGTGAAAGTTCCAAGGGACCTATAGTAATTTGGTATTGTTTATTGGAAGGGAAAAATGTAGACATTTTAAAAAACCCATTTACTCTGGCAATAATAGTTTTTTGTTTCAATAAGTCTCCATTTAAGTGACTAGTCACTCAACAAACATTCACTGGATGAAGAGAATGTCATATACAAGATGTGGTGGCACAAAGGATAGTCAATTCAGCATTCATAGAAGCCTTCCCTTTCCCTTTGTTATAACTTGCTGATCTTTAAATAAAAAGTATGACATTCATCCAGAGAGATGCTAGGGACCAGAGAGCAATTCAAGAAAGGTATGACAGAAGCTTTTACTTAATTTTGCTTTTAAAAAGAGAAGAAAAATACAGAACCTAGTATCCTAGTAAGTTTTTCCCCCAGAAGACAATACAGAAATTGAGCTAAAATTTTGGAGAAAACAATTTCGTTCTCTCCTTAAATGTCTTCTATTTCTTTCCCAAATTGGCCTATCTTACTCTTTCTATGATTTCTCTACCTTAGTACAACAGCAATGACAAAAAAATAAAATTTGAGAGAAAAATGTTATTTTGGCAGCAACTTATTTTTCCACATCTTCATGGAGTGTAAAAATGCAGTACAAATATACTTAAGACCTAGATTCTATATCTAACTCTATCATTTACTAGCTGGGCTACTAAGTTTTCATTTCTCAAAAGTAAACTAGAAATATTAATTGCCTTCCTGGTCTATTTACAGGATTAAGTGGTAACTTTTTTAAAAAACACCTTTATTGAGATATAATTAAAATACAAATCATACACGGTGTACATTAAGATACTTTTGAGATTTATGGAGCTATGAAACTGTCACCACAAGCAAGATAATAAACATATCCATCTCTCCCAAAAGTGTCTTTGTCCCTCTTTGAAGTCCAACTCTCTAGACCTTCCCTGTGTAGCATTCCTCCCTTGTGTCTAAGCAATCAGTCATCTTCCTTCTGTCACAATACATTAGTTTGCTTTCCTAGAAGTTTATATAAGTGGTACAGAACAGTTCACCCCACTTTCCTGTTTGTAGTTCTCAAGACCAACCAGAATCTGCTGGGAATGCAACATCCTAAGGTAAGAAGGGATTGGCTGAAACAGTCCAGGCTCTGTGCCAGTCCCCACCTGGAAACAGGATGTCCTTCAACATTTCAGTCCAGTGAGTCAAATAGCCCTGAGGTTCATAACTCAAGGTGGGCTGCTTTCTAGAATCCCTCAATGGCTGTGCAAGTAGGACACACACAGTTGAGACTCCATTCACCCAGAAGACAGCTTTCTGAGTTCTGGGGTGGGGGGGGGGTGCATTTCACAATAAATCCTAGGCTTCTGTTGTCCCTTGATGCCTATTTGTAAGTAGTAAGTTTGCTTCACGTAACTTGTATGAGAGTGTGTTCTGTCTCACTGATCTCAGACAAGTTGAAAACCAGAGCACGGTGAAACTGTTCCACAAGTGGAAGCACACATACTTGTTTTATTTGGCTTCTTTCACTCAACATAACTATTCTGAGATTCATCCAGGTTGTGGCCTATATTACTAATTCCTGTTTTTTTATTGCTAAATAGTATTTTCACTATATGGATACACCATAGTTTGCTTATCTATATATAATGGACATTTGAGTTTTTCGCAGTTTTTGGTTATTCCAAAAAACAACTGCAATGAACATTTCTTTACTAGTCTTTTTATGCACATATGCTAGCATTTATCTTGGGCAAAATGTCTCAGAGTAGAATGGCTGAATTGTATGATAGGTGTATATTTAACTTCTTAAGAAACTACCAAAGCAAATGTACCATTTTACATTCCCACCAGCAGTGTATGAGACTTCTAGTTCCTCCACAACCCTGCCAATACCCGTTATAGTCAGTTTTTCAAATTTTAGGCATTCTAATAGATGTGTAGTGGTATCTCATTGTGGTTTTAATTTGCATTTCCTTAAAGACTAAGGATACTAAACATTTTTTTAGGTGTTTATTTGCCATCAGCGTATCTTCTCTGGTGAAAAAGCTATTCAAATCTTGGGCTCATTCTTTTAACTGAGCTCTTTTCTTAAGTTTTGTAAGGTTTTTTTATATTCTAAATATAGAAGTCTCTGACCAGATATATGATTTGCAAATATTTTCTCCAGTCTGTGGCTTGCCTTTTCATTCTCTTAACAGTGTCTTTGGAAAAACATAAGTTTTTAATTTTGAAGAAATACAGATTATCAATTTGTTCTTAAGAATTGTGCTTTTGTTGTTAGAAATCTTGGCCTTTTAAAAAAAAGTTTCTAGAAGTTTTAAAGTTTTAGGTTTTACTTTTATATCTATGATCCATTTTTGGATAATTTTTATAGATGGTTTAAGGTACGTATGGATCAACACTCTTTCTGTTTATGGTTTTGTTGTTTTTTTTTTTTTTGGTAAGGCTATCCAATTATTCTACCACCCCTTGTTGAGAAAGACCCCCGTGGCCATGCACGATGGCTTGTGCCTGTAATCCCAGCAGTTTGGGAGGCGAAGGTGAGCAGATCACCTGCAGTCAGGAGTTTGAGACCAGCCTGGCCAACATGGTGAAACCCTGTCTCTACTAAAAATACAAATATTAGCCGGGTGTGGTGGTGGGCACCTGAAAACCCAGCCACTTGGGAGAATGAGGCAAGAGAATCACTTGAACTTGGGAGGCAGAGGTAGCAGTGAGCTGAGATCATGCCACTGCACTCTAGCCTGGGCAACAAAGTAAGATGCTGTCTCAAAATAAAAATGAAAACCACCACTCTTTCTCCACCAAACTGCCTTCATACCTTTATCCAAACGTAACTGTCCATAAGTACATATGGATCTACTTCTGGACTATCATTTTGTTCCATCCATCTGTTTATCTTTACGCCAATATAATACTGCCTTAATCACTGGAGTTTAATTATAGTAAGTCTTGAAATCAGGTCGTATTACTTCTCCAACTATGTTTTTCAATCAATGGTATCTTTTTTGTAGATAGGATCTTGCTATATTGCCCAGGCTAGAATGCAGGGCCCATTCATAAATGTGATCACAGCTCACTGCAGCCTTGAACTCCTTATCTAAAGCGACCCTCTTGCCTCAGCCTCCCAAGTACCAGGGACTACAGACACTACCATGTCTAGCTATGTCAAGGCATCTTAATGCAAGTTTTCTGAAAATCAGAAATGTATATTTTCGAATGTAGGCAATTATCATTTTTCTGCTCCAACTTCAATAGTTTTTAGCTTATAAATACCAGAACAGTAAAGTAATAGAAATCACAAAATCATACAGCTATTTATATACAAAATCTATCCAGCATATTTAAAGACCTTTTTACTCAAAACCAGATATACAACTTAACACGTGAAATAATATTTAACATCCTCACCTGTAAACCATATTTTACTCGTATTTTCTTTAATTCTTTTCTTCTTTCCAACTCTTTTTCCTCCTTACTTAGTGTTGGACCAACTGAAAGAAAAAGAGTTTGGTTAAAAAAAAAAACCACTAAATCTGATTTTGTAGAAAATTAAAACTGTTATTTAATAAAAAACTAAAAGAACCATTAGTAACCCATTCCAATTAACCAGAAGTTGAAATAAATATTAACATAAAGGATATTGGGTTGTGATGACGTCTTTTCAGAAGTTTGTTAACTAAACCTACTTGAGAAATAAAGCAAAAACTACAGATAGGAATTTTACAGTATAGATACCAAAATGAACAATAAACATCTCAATTTTTCAACATGATTATTACAACAGAATCTCAAATGTAGAAATATTAAGTAAATTTTGCAAAGGAACATAGCCATGTGCAAAATAAAAGCCAGAAAACCCAATATTCATGTTACTGTGTAATGCAACATACTCATTTTCAAATTAGTATCATAAAATAAAAAAATAAACAATGAACATGCATACTTGGCATTTAGCAGAAAAATTTATGTCAAAAAAGATGACCTCTTACTAGTTCAAAGCATCTATATAAATTTTAAGAGCATTAGATGGGTGGGCTAAAAGCACAACAGTAATATCCTACAGTACTATTATAAAAACTAATGGTTCATAGACAATATACAGCATGAGCTATCAACAGGACAGAAAACATATCGATCTATAGCTCTTAACACCTTGGCCTATTACTTCCTATGTTAATATCACATGACAGAGTTCAATTGTGGATAACTTTTTTTGCATCAATACACACGTCAGAAAGAAACCAATCTTTATTAAATTATTACTTTATTAAGTCTTAGTTTTTAAATTATTTTAACTAATAAAAATTGTATATATGGTATAAACATGATTTTTGATATATGTATACATTGTAAACTGGCTAAATCAAGCTCATTAACATACCCATTACCACCTCACATACTTATCATTTTTTGTGTATGGTGAGAACACTTAAAATCTACTCTCTCAGCAATTTTCAATTACAACTGCTCTTAAGGACATTCGGCTACCACTACAGTCTGTCTCAAAAGCCTACTAAACTGGATTAGCAGAAAGAGAACTAATCCAATCTCTCCTGGTCAGAAAGCAGACCAATGCTACGTATCACACAGCTGAATTATTACATAGAAAAATCAACTACAATTACTCTATTAGCTAGGTCTCAAATCCCAAATATATGTCATTTCTTAATCTCATTTGGTAATGTTTACTGAAATATATCTCAATCTATTATTACATCAACTGGATTCAAAACCAATAACTTTTTATATAAATGTATCTCAATGTAGTATTGTACCAATTAGACATGAAGCCAGTAGCTGACTGATATTTTTAGAACATTTAAGTAATGAAAGAGAAATGTTATCACAGCCACATTTAATTATTTCACATACCAAAAGATTCATCTTTCTTATCAAGGCGAAGGTGGGCTCTAACCTGCCCTGGTTCACAGCCATCACAGGTATCACTGCCAGGGTGAATGTGAAAGGATAAGACAGTTTCTCCAATTTTCACTTCATCTCCATGCTCAAGTACATAAGGGTCACATTTAGTTTTTGGCTAGAGAGGAAACATTTTACAAAACAGAAATCAAAATAATCACATGTGGTTACCTTATATCTACTGTAAGTAATGTCTGATTATAATTTTTAAAATACCTGTTAATGAAACACACACACACACACACACACACACACACACACACATGCATTTCCCAACTTAATGACCCATAAAAAATGTTCTACTAGTGGATGAAGACTGTTGAACTGGGCAACTTGTCAAACCCACCAATCTCCCTATCCAATCAAAACTATCCAATTCTAGACTTCAATCTATTATCAAAACATATAATCATCATAGCAAAAAAGATGAAGTGTTAAGAGAATGTGATAAATGTATCACATTCTTCTCTCTTGATAACTCAGTTTTATTTCCACTTTTATTGTTACAGATTAAGAATAGGCCTCCCTCCTTCCCTGTATTTTCTTTTTTTGAGACAGTCTCACTCTGTAGCCCAGGCTGGAGTGCAATGGCGCAATCTCGGCTCACTACAACCTCCACCTCCCCGGTGCAAGTGATTCTCCTGCCTCAGCATCCCAAGTAGCTGGGATAACAGGTGCACATCCCTACACCCAGCTAATTCTTGTATTTTTAGTAGAGATGGGGTTTTACCATGTTGGCCAAGCTGGTCTTGAACTCCTAACCTAAGATGATCCATCAGCCTTGGGCTCCCAAAGTGCTAGGATTACAGGCATGAGCCACCGCACCCGGCACCTCTATTTTCTTATTATATGCCAAATACTTCGCTACATGCAGAGGATGTAAGTATTAACTAAATAGACACAGCTTCTGCCTTTAAGAAGTTTCCAATTTAGTAACATTTCCATTAAGACAATTAAAAAAAAAGGGGGGGACCTGGCCGGGCTTGGTGGCTCACGCCTGTAATCCCAGCACTTTGGGAGGCCGAGGCAGGCAGATCACAAGGTCAAGAGATCGAGACCATCCTGGCCAACACAGTGAAACCTCGTCTCTACTAAAAATACAAACAAATTAGCTGGGCGTGGTGGCATGCACCTGTGGTCCCAGCTACTCAGGAGGCTGAGGCGGAAGAATTGCTTGAACCCCAGAGGCAGAGGTTGCAGTGAGCCAAGACTGCACCACTGCACTCCAGCCTGGGTGGCAGAGCAAGACTCCGTCTCAAAAAAAAAAAAGCAGGGGGGAGGACCTTCAAATTTGCTACTAGGAACATTTACACATTTACGCTGAATAGCTTTACAATGGATTAATAACTCAAAATAAGGCATAGATACATAAGTAGAAGTCAAAATTCAACAGCCAAGTAAGTACTCACTGATAATATACTTTTTTTCAGCCTTTCTGGAAACTATTTTCCAAACAACACAATTGGGTTTAACTCTAATCTGAACCAAATGATAAAGATTATGGCCTTCAGAAATAAAAGAATTCAGTTTAAAAATCATGTGCAGGCAATTAATACATATACACTCACCTGAAGAATCTGTTTTCCATTAACAATTGTACCATTTTGACTGCCTTGATCCACAAGGACATAACTTTGTAAGTCATGGTCAAAATGAATTTCTGCATGAAACTTAGAAAACGAAATCAAGCAATTATTAATTAGTATACTTTTCAAAACCATGAATAACAATTTCTGTATGATATGATGACGTTAACTTGAGTCTTTCATAATTTAGATTTTATTTTACTTAATACTTTTTCAGAAACACAAATTACTATATGCTTCTGGTAGAAATAGAGGCTACAGAAGAAAACGTCATCTATAACTCTACCTTTACCATGAAAAATTTAGTATATTTCCTATCCTTTTCTCCTTTGTACTGGAGTTGAGATGAAAATTTTTCACCTAATGTATTTTCCGTATCATTAAAAACTTTTTTTTTTTAGATGGGGTCTCGCTCTGTCACCCAGGCTACAGGGCAGTGGTGTGATCACAACTTGTTATAGCCTTGACCTCCTGGGCTCAGGCAATCCTCCCACCCAGCTTCCTGAGTAGCTGGGACTACAGGCGTGTGCCACCACACGTGGCTAATTTTGAATTTTTTTGTAGAGACAGGGTTTTCACCATGTTGCCCAGGCTGTTCTTGAACTCCTGAGCTCAAGTGATCCTCCTGCCTTGGCCTCCCAAAGTGCTGGGATTATGGGCATGAGTCACCACAACCCACCAAGAATTTGTAATAGAAAATGTGATTTGAAACACTCAAGGTCAACTTCTCAGAGATGTTTCCCAGATCTTCAATAGTTGGGACTAATCATTCCCTCCTTGTTCCATAGCACTTTATTCCTCTTATTTTGCTTCTTTGTCTTAACATTGTCATGCGGTTCGCCAAGTTGTTATAGAAAGTTATAGAGTTGCTGTTCATTCATTTTGCTGAATGGTAATACATTGTGTGGCTATATCATAATCTATCCCTCAATTCTTCTGATAATGGACATTCACGGTTTTTCCCCGAGGTGTTACTACTTTTAAAAATATTACTATAAACCTTCTTGTACCTGCAATCTTTTTGTGTACAAAATGCAAGCATTCCTCTGGAGTACACACTTAGGACAGAATTATTAAATCATAAGCAAATCTTAAACTTTACTAGATATTGTTTTCCAAAGTGGTTGTATCAATTCATATTCCCACCAGCAGTCTGTGAGAATTCTTGTTGCTCTATGCATAGTAAACCAAAACTTGATATTGCCAAAATGTTTAATTTTTGCTAGCCTAAGAGATGTGAAATTGCCTACTTATATTTTGCTGATTACTACCAAAACTCTTTTTAATATTTATTAGCTGTTTTGAGTTTTCTTTTCTGTAAATTTTCTTTTTATGTCCTTTGTACACGTTTTCCCAACTGGGTTGTTTAGAAAACTTTCTACACTGCCAAACCCTATTCCAAAAAGCTGTTCTATATTATGTTCCCTATAGTAGTGATATTTAATAAATGATGAATGAGGACAAGCATGGTGGCTCAAGCCTGTAATCCCAGCACTTTGGGAGGCTGAGGAGGGTGGATCATGAGGTCAGGAGATCAAGACCATCCTGGCTAACACAGTGAAAACCCGTCTCTATTAAGAATCCAAAAAAAAAAAAAAAAATTAGCCAGGTATGGTGGCACATGCCTGTAGTCCCAGCTACTAGAGAGGCTGAGGCAGGAAAATCCCTTGAACCTGGGAGGCAGAGGTTGTGGTGAGCTGTTATCACACTACTGCACTCCAGCCTAGGCAACAAAGCAAGACTCTGTCTCAAAAAACAGTAATAGGCCAGGCACACACCTGTAATGCCAGCACTTTGGGAGGCCGAGGCGGGTGGATCACAAGGTCAAGAGATAAAGACCATCCTGGCCGACATGGTAAAACCCCAACTCTACTAAAAAATAGAAAAATTAGCTGAGTGTGGTGGTGCCTATAGTCTCAGCTACTTGGGAGGCTGAGGCAGGAGAACTGCTTGAACCCACGAGGCGGAGGTTGCAGCAAGCTGAGATCGCGCCACTGCACTCCAGCCTGATGCCTAGCAACAGAGTGAGATTCTGTCTCAAAATAATTAAATAAATAATAAATAAATAAAATGGCAAATGAAAATTGATACCTTGACTACATCTGTATTTCTTAGATTACTAGAAAGACTGAATGGTTTTTCATATATTAACCACGATATTTCATTTAATGTGAATTGCCTGATATATCTTTTGCTCATTACTGTTGTCACAGTGGGGGTTGAAAACATAAATTTGCATGAACTTTTAAAAAACAAAGAACGTATATTGTGTCATATTTGTTGTGACTGTCCCAGTCTGCCTTTTAAATTTGTGTCTTAACACATAAAGAGCAAAATCATTTTGTCCTTTGTAATTTTTACCATTTTTTAAACTCAGAAAATCTTCTATCTAGTGGTTAAAAACTTGTTTTTTCCCCTTAATTTAACATAAAGTTTCTTTTTTAAAAGTTTTTCATCTATTTGGATACATGGTATATGTGCTATCAAACTGACTTCACCAACAAATTATCCACCCCACTAGCGGATATTAGTCTAAAAGAAAGAAAGAAAAAACAGAAATGCCACCAGAAGCCTGGTGTGGCGGTGTGCCTACAGCGCTAGCTACTCAGGAAGCTGAGGCAGGAGGATCAGTTAAGCCCAGGAGTTATCAGGGGCTACAGTGTGTGCCACTGCATTCCAGTCTTAGCAAAAGAGTAAGACCCTGTCACTATTTAAAAAAAAAAAAAAAGCCACTTACAGGCAGTTCTAAGGTTTAGACTGAAGGTGGGGAAGAACCTTGGATCTCTTTGCTATTTAAGTTACAGATAAGGTTTTTTGTTTAATTTCTTTGGAGGCAGGAGACTCAAGGGTCATAGTGAAAAAGCAAGATAATCTGGTTAAAGTTAAAATTATGAGGGCATTTTCCTCTTTTTGAAGACATTCCCAAAACATGAAAGTAAATAAATAAACTTTCAAGTTTAAAATGAGAAATTATATTCCAAAAAAACAAAAATCACATAAAATCTAATTTAGGTCCACATTACAGTCCGTTAAATAAAAGTAAAATGGGAACAATGGAAGGTCAAAAAAAAAGAGAAAAGCAAAAAAGGAAAGAGATAATAACCATAAGAGAGGTAGGAAAACATAGTACTGGAAAGAGAAATATAAAGAGCCTCAGACAGATGTGGTGGCTCACGCCTGTAATCCCAGCACTTTGGGAGGCTGAGGCAAGTGGATCACTTGAGCTCAGGAGTTTGAGACCAGCCTGGTGAACCCCCAGTTGAAACCACATCTCTATGAAACATAAAAATTAGCTGGGCATGGTAGAGCATGCCTGTAGTCCCAGCTTCTTGGGGGGCTAACACAGGAGGACTGCTTGAACCTGGGAGGTCAAGGCTGCAGTGAGTCATGATCACAACACTGTACTCCAGCGGGGGTGACAGAGTGAAATCCTGTCTCAAAAAATACAAAAATAAAAAGTAAAAATAGATAAAGAGCCTCAGTAGCTAAACCTTTAGTTATTTTCTACTTATATATAACTTGACTTTCAATTCTGTTCTATTTGTTTCGAAAACTCCATTGTTCTTTTTCCTGAAACCATTTGAGACAGGGTCTCATTCTGCCACCCAGGCTACAGTGCAGTGGTGTGATCACAGCTTCCTGCAGCTTTGACCTCCTGGGCTCAGGAGATCCTCCCACATTAGCTCAATTGAGAGAAGTTTTAAAGGAGATCCCTGAGTGGTATAGGATATATTCTTGGGTTTTAGATACTCTGGGCTCAAAGTAACCACCTCCTAAGCAGTCTGAAGCCACGTATGATTCATTTTTTAATAGTCATAAAATGTAGCCTGTTTATTTCACTCAATTAATATTCATTAATGGGTACTACTTTAAGACTTAATATATGCTTTCTATTCTTATCCAGATTCTTAAAAATAAACATGATTTTGTTTATTCAAATTGTGATAAAGAATTTTTACTTTCTGAAGCACTGGAATAAACAAATCTGCACTGCCTTCATTACCATTACTACACTGCATATTAACCTTCCTATTAAATGAGAAAAATCCCTAAGCTTTCTACTGTAACAATGATATTAAAAATTACATCTAGGGAACTATGAGAAATCAAAAAGCATACCTTACTGACACCAACTTCAGGGATTCGGAGAGTATGTTCCATATCCTTTTCTCTGCAGAGTTAAGTAAAGTGTCTTTAATAATTTATGAAGCATATTATATAAATGTAGCACTGACAGAGTGACATGGAAAGAATGTTTAAAAATAGATAATGTTGGCCAGGCATGGTGGCTCATGCCTGTAATCCAGCACTTTGGGAGGCCGAGGCGGGCGGATCACAAGGTCAAAAGATCGAGACCATCCTGGCCAACATGGTGAAACCCGGTCTTTACTAAAAACACACACAAAATAGCTGGGTGTGGTGATGTGTGCTTGTAGTCCCAGCTACTCGGGAGGCTGAGGCAGAAGAATCGCTTGAACCCAGGAAGTGGAGGTTGCAGTGAGCCAAGATTGTGCCACTGCACTCCCACCTGGTGACAGAGCAAGACTCCATTTCAAAAAAAAAAAAAAAACAGATAATGTTTAAATACAAGTCTATCAACAGCAAATATCCTGTTTATGGATTATCCAGTTTCCATACTGCTTCTCTAGATTTCCTGTGCTTTCATACAGTGATTATTTGCTCATATTTTTTCTCCGAGACTCTGTTTCCTCTGGATAGAGATTTTGCATTAGTCTTCTTTGTATCCACAGCACATAGACTAATGCTTAACATATGGCCAGGTGTGGTGGCTTACATGCCTGGAATCCCAGCACTTTGGGAGCCTGAGGTGGGTGGATCACTTGAGACCAGGAGTTTGAGAGCAGTCTGGCCAATATGGTGAAACCCCGTCTCTACTAAAAATATAAACATCAGCTGGGCGTGGTGGTGCACACCTGTAATCCCAGCTACTCAGGAGGCTGAAGCAGGATAATCGCTTGAGCCCAGGAGGCAGAGGTTGCAATGAGCCAAGATTGTGCCACTGCACTCCAGCCTGGACAACAGAGCATGACTCTGTCTCAAAAACAAAAAACAAACAAACAAACAAAAATACATACTCTGAAGTAACTGAATGATATAATAATATTAGCCATTTTACCTTCCAATTGTAGCAGGGTTTACAGCAGTAATGATAAAGAGTGATCCTGTCTGCAACACAGGTGATCTGATGACAATAACTCTAATACATGGGGGCCAAATTTTGTCTTCATCTGCCAAGGAAAGAAGTGGGTAAATATTAATTTAACTGCTATGAAAAAGAATTCCATAGGGATAACTAAGAGGTATCCATAAAGAAAAATGTGTTGGTCAAAAAATCTTAATTCTGACTAAAACAAACTTCTTAAATTCTGCTGTATAATACACAGCAATTGGTAAGGCTTAACACTGTTATTAAGGTGATCAACAGAAAGGTTGCTGTGTATTTAGCATCTATCACAGTTATCAAATAATCAACTCTTTCTTTTCTAAGGTTTTGGAATGGGAAAATACCCCAAATATTTTTATATTATTTTAAGTTACAAAAATTGAGTCCACTTAAAAAAAAAAAAAAAGCTGGGCACAGTGGCTCATGCCTATAATCCCAACACTTTGGGAGGCTGAGGTGGGTGGATCCCAAGGTCAGAAAATCGAGACCATCCTGGCCAACATGGTGAAACACCATCTCTACTAAAAATACAAAAATTAGCTGGGTGTGGTGCCGTGCACCTGTAGTCCCAGCTACTCAGGAGGCTGAGGGTGGAGAATCACCTGAACCTGGGAGGTGGAGGTTGCAGTGAGGCAAGATCACGCCACTATACTCCAGCCTGGGCAACAGACCAAGACTTCATCTCAAAAAAAATAAATAAATCAAGAGAAATGCCACTGAGAACCAAAGAACAAAATAAGCTCATACACTATACAGCTGGCCCTCCATATCTGTGAGAGATTAGTTCCAAGATTCCCTCCTCTTATGCCAAAATCTATGGATGCTCAAGTCCTTAGATAAATGGTATTGTATTTGCATATAATCTATGTGCATCCTCCTGTATACTTTAAATCTCTAGATTACTTATACCTAATACAATGTAAATGCTATATAAATAGATACACTGTATTGTTTAGAGGATAACAAGAAAAAAGTTTGTACATGTTCAGTACAGATGTAACTTTCCATTTTTTTCCCTGAATGTTTTGACCTGAGTTTGCTTGAATCCACTAATGAAGAACCCATGGATACAGAAAGCCAACTGTAATATGAAATCCTGTGTTGTAAGGTATGTCTTTATATATTCAAGTAAAAAAAAATTAGGTTTACCATAATATCCACGTAACGGATTCATAATGTATACTTTTTAAAGACAACTCATTTTACAAAACTCATTTTACAAAAGTAGACTGAAAGTATGTAACACACTAAAACAGCCTTAATCCATATTTTAGGATTAGAATGTAGGTAACTCGGTTTTGTGTTCTATTGACTAGGCCATTCAATACAATAAAACTTTCTGAAAGTCCAAGTATTAGTCATTTATTCACATCCTACTCTCTAAGAATAACCAAGTGGCTGCCCACATAATTTTCAATAACATCATTAAAATAATGTTTACTTTTTGGCAGATATACTATGACTCACTAACATTTTTAATGATTTTACTCTTTTATAGTTACCAGACTGGGCTATTTACTTAAATAATGATTATTAACTCACCTTCATCCTCACTATCTTCTGCAGTTACATTGCCTTCACTGGTAATGTCTTCATCATAACTATCCTCTGTCTGAGAATCCGTAATTTCACCTTCCTCTGGTTCACTATCAGTCTCCATGATTTTCTCATCTTTAAATGATGTTGAATAAGAGATGTTTTCATGAAGAGGAGACTCTACAGTATTTCCACTGGCTGGAACAGTGAATTTTGGGGGACTATTTTTGTGATGAATGCCTATTTTGGCCTTCTTTTTCATATGTGAAAAATTTTCTTCCTCATTGCAGCTTATATGTTCAACACTGAAGGCTTTTTGATCCTCTGAATTCAAATCCTGGAGAAGGGTAGGTAGATAGTGGGAACCGGGGAGAATACTCTTAAACATCACTATCTTATTACACCAAGTTTCAATAAATTCGTGAAAATATATGTTAGTAAAATAACAATGGTTACAATCTGTACGCCCTCTTCTCACATTTCCTTTCTTGGTTAATGATATTATCATCTTCTTATCATTCAAATTAAAAATCCTATAGTTATCTCCGAGATCCCCTTAACCATATGTAAAATTAGTATTATAAGTATTATACATTTTTCTCAAAATATATCCCAAATCTGTCCCTCTATCTACTCAATGTCTTAACATTACTAGTTCAAGCCCTCATCACATATTGCCTGGATTGTGGGATAGTGGAGACCAATGATGTCCAATAAAAATGTAACACAAGCCGTATTTGTACTTTTATATTTTCTAGTAGCCACATTTTAAAAGTAAAATTATTAATGTGACAGTTTACATTTATTTTTTGTACTAAGTCTGCAAAATTCAGAGTGTATTTTACACTTAACAGCACATTTGAGTTTGGACTAGCAACACTTCAAGTGCTCGACAGCCACATGTAGCTGGTGGCTACCTTACTGGACAGTGCAGGCCTATAGAACACCTATTCTAACTTTTCTTTTTAAACTTGTAACCAATTAGCAAGTCAACAAAAATAAGACACAGAATTAGCTTTCCTTACACCATTAATTTAAAGATCCAAATGTACTCAATATGTAGCAAAATTTAGTTTTGAAATTTAGTATTTCAGATTTGGCTTGATAACACATAAAAGTTTAAAGTACAGTATCTTATTCCAAAATTTTAACTTAACTATATTTTATGAATAATCTACTGTACATTTATAGCTGATATGCCTTATAAACAAATCTATTTTTTAATTAACAAAAATGTATTTTTATCATGTACATGTTTTGAAATATATACACAATACAGAGTGGTTACATTGAGCTAATTAACATGTACATTATCGCAAATACTTATTTTTCTGTGGTAAGAAACTTAAAATTTGCTCTCAGCAGTTTTCAAGAATATAATACATTGTTTTTAACTATAGCCACCATGTTATACAATGGACAAATCTATTATTTTAATCTTAGAAAGCAAAGAGTTACTTTCTGTTTTTTTCCCCTTGTTTTCTAACACACTGTCACTTTTCCTTCTACCTTAGAGCAACATGAAGCAAATTCATATGCTCTCCTATACATTTTATTTTATAAACTATGACAGCATCTCACATGCTTATTTTTAATAAAACATTACGTTCAGCTTGGAGACTGGCTAAACATTCACAGTTTGATAAATTCTATACGCTTCTAGCAATACAAATTCACCAGGGACAACAACAAGGGCAAGGAGATAAAAAACCATGAGGAGCTTTTACGTTATAAAATTATAGCAAAAAATTTCTCTTAAAAAAGCAGTTTCTAATCTTGTATATTTATTACTGAAAAACATATGGAGGGAAAGCTATTTGCCAGTACAGAACGTTAGATATTCATTAAACAAAAAGAAAGTAGGGCTTACTTACGGGCACTGAGGCACGTATGTATATTTCAAATTATTTCCTCCTATCTCCCCTACTGTCTTCCTTCACATAACCTCCACCTACAAAAAGTGATACTCAAAAATATCTTTAAAAATAAAGAAAACAGATGAAGATACTCTCATGGCCTCACAGGTACCTTTTAGAATCCTCAGGAAATTCTCAAAATTCCAACAGGATTTTTCTTAAAGTTCTTGCCTTGGAATTCACATATTTTCAAAGAAGGATGGCAAAGATGAGTAGTTATAGGAGTGAGGCTGGACCAAAATATCACAGAATGCTTTTGACCCCATTCTCTAGTTTTCAGGAAAGGCCATGTATACTCTTTTTCTATTTTTAGGGATCCCTCTATACTCTTTTTCTATTGTTAGGGAGAGGTGCTTTCACAACCTAGCCTTTTTTTATTTTTATTTTTTGAGATGGAGTCTCACTCTGTCACCCAGGCTGGAGCGCAGTAGCATGACTTTGGCTCACTACAACCTCCACCTCCCAAGTTCAAGCAACTCTCCTGCCTCAGCCTCCCAAGTAGCCGGGATTATAGGCACGTGGCACCACACCTAGCTAATTCTTGTGTTTTTAGTAGAGATGGGGTTTCACCATGTTGGCCAGGCTGGTCTTGAACCCCTGACCTCAGGAGACCCGCCCACCTCAGCCTCCCAAAGTGTTGAGATTGCAGGCATCAGCCACCACACCCGGCCCACAACCTAGCCTTTCAAACAGTTAAACCACTAGTAACAAGCACAAGCCATTAAAACAGAAATCTTGAAAGCAAACAGAAAACTCACTTTTAGTGTTTTAGTCATACACTCTTCTATTCCTAAGTATTGTCAACAAAAAACAGAAGAACAGAAACAAATCGAATAAACAAAAAAAAAAAAAAAAAAGAATCCTAATTCCTTATGTGATCTTTACAATTTAGTATCAAGTAATTTTTCTTTGGTTAAGAAAAGAAAAACTGGCTGGCACAGTGGCTCATGTCTATAATCCCAGCACTTTGGGAGGCCAAAGTAGGCAGATCACTTGAGCCCAGGAAGTCGAGGATGCAGTGAGCCATGCATGGCGGCACCACTGCACTCAACCTGAGTGACAGAGCAAGACCCTGTCTCAAAATAGGACAGGACAGGCCAGGAAAGACAGACGGGATAGGATGGGATGGGATAGAAAACAATGAGATAAAATTTCAAGAGTAAGCTATCAAATAGTTACCACAGTTGATAAAATATCAATACAACAAACAAGCCTGCTTTCTTACCTGTAAACCACCAAACTTATCTGTTTAGAGAGTAGAAATAAGAACTCTGATAACTTTTTATATTTTCCTTCTTTCAATTTAACATTGCATGATAAGCATTTTGGGAGTTCCCCTTAGTCTTTATAAGTACCATCTGAAAGCCTACATAATACGTTTTTCAATTAAATTTAACTGTCACTTTCTTAACCATTATCTTGCAGGCCTTTAAACTCTTAATCCTAATAAATGTTATGGCAATCCATAGACGCCAGCAATGGATTTTTAGAAAATGTTTTCCTAATAGGTAAAAAATTGCTCCACATAACTAAAAAAGTTTAACCTGTCTACCTATAAACTGTGTTTTTCTTTTATTGTGAATTGTGCACTGACATCAACTTATCAACTGAGGGACTGAATTCTTCCAAACTATACAACACGAAATATTTCATCTACCCTAAATCTACCTCCTTCAAATTTCAAGAAATGCTTTCCTTTCTAGTGATAGTTTATGACAAGTCCATGTTTGCTCCATCTAAACTTTCCTTGGTTGTTACCTTAAAGGGCATGTTTGAAATAGTTATTAAATGACTGTCAGTTTCATAAAAAATTTTGGCTTAATTATCATATTATCACCAATGCATAAATTTTTAAAATTATAAAGACATTACCTTTTCCTCATTTGTTGCAGAAGAATCTGGATCCTTTCTTTTCTTCTTCAGTTTTTTATCTTTACTTTGTTTTGTGGCAGAAGTCTGATAAGGTTGCAAATCTACTCGAGAATGAAACTGATAGCGACCACTTTCCACATCACAATAGTAATAAATTCCAGTGGAAGGATCATAATAGAGCTGATTTTCCTTTCAAAGTCAAGAAAAAAAATAAACTCTATTCATGTACAAGAAAATAAACTTAACAAAAAATGCCAAATATATTCAAATGCAGTAAATATTTCTTTGAACAACTATGGTATTTTTCAGAAGACAATGAATTAAATATGAGAATAAAAATGATTTAATCTTCCAAAATACGTTACTATTCAATAGCTGACCTACTTTTTCTAGTGTGAGAAACAAGTAAATCTAAATACTAAATTGAATCATATGAAATTGTCAATACTTGACCATTTCTAACTTACAAGAAACAGCAATTTCATAGGATTCCACTTAATACACTAACAAAAATTGATACTACTTTTGAAGGCATGAAAACTAAGGCATGCATAAGAAAAAGCTGCCCATACAAGAGCAATTCTAGACACTTTATTCTTAATGACTGCACAATAATGATGTGGCAGTATAAACCCCTAAACCCTCCTATGTCATAAAACAAAGATTTGTCTTTTGATATTCATTACTTAAAATCAGCGAAGAAAATTCTGAAAATAATGTTCGTACATACCAAAAAATAACATTCTATATAATAAAATCAATAAACAATTGTCTTCACTAATTAGTTCTACAGTAAGTAAGACTTACAAGCAACCATGCAAAAATGAATTTTGCAAACTATAGATTTAAAAACCAGAAAGATAAAATTAGGTAATCACTTGTATTTATGAAACCCTGGGCCAGTACTCTATAACTGAGATTTAAGTGAACAGTCTGTATTTTATTTACATCAGAAACCCATGCAGACCAGACTTGGAAACATCTTACGATGTACTGAAATTGAGCAACTAAAACTTCCTAAAAAAGAGTAATTTAAAACCGGGCGCAGTGGCTCAAGCCTGTAATCCCAGCACTTTGGGAGGTCGAGGTGGGTGGATCATGAGGTCAAAAGATTGAGACCATCCTGGTCAACATGGTGAAACCCCGTCTCTATTAAAAATACAAAAAATTAGCTGGGCATGGTGGCGTGTGCCTGTAATCCCAGCTACTCAGGAGGCTGAGGCAGGAGAATTGCCTGAACCCAGGAGGCGGAGGTTGCAGTGAGCCGAGATGGCGCCATTGCACTCCAGCCTGGGTGACAAGAGCGAAACCCCATCTCAAAAAAAAAAAAAAGAATAATTTATTTTTCTAACTATTGATATTTGCAATTTATTGTCTTTAATCCATGCATTTTGCATATCTCTTACAAAAATACTTCAATTTCTCACCATCTTTCTCTTAACTAAGAAATTGAATGGAGGCTTTCCAATCTTTATTTCTAGTAATAATGGAACTGTTATAATTCAAACTTTTTTCATCTGTTAGTCCAAAACATAGATATTTTCAAAATATAAAAACATTTTTACTAAAATAAAAATTAGCCCAATAAAAATGGCAACACAATAAAGTTCCTAATTTACTCAGAAATATAACCTGCAAAATGTAACAAACGGTTTACAAAACAACTGATGTCAAGAGAAAGACACAGAAAGGAAGGCAGAAGATTAACAAAGACTAATATCTACTTGAAACTGTTGTTTTCCTAGAAACTACTCCCTTTGAATAAATGATTAAACATTAATTTTCTGGTTATTAATTAGCATTGTCAATTAGCATCCCCCATGAAAGAAAACCCTCTCTTCACAAATGACTTCCAGTTTACTATATGCAGACTGACAAACTAGTGAAATCTCTTACGTTAATTGAGATATTTAGTATGATTCTATGTTCTCTAGATAAGTTAACAATAATTCCAGTAACTGGAATGATGAACATCAATTCCACTTTCATGCAGCACATTCTATAGTTCCTCAGAAAAACAGATTACATTACTAGACTCTTAAGGTTGAGATATGTGAGTTCTATCACTGTCAACAAATCCTGAATGAAATCCAGTTAAGTATTGGACTTCGACAGCCGTTAACACTGTATTATAAATCAAGAACTTTATTTTCTGGTTCTATCCTAGTCAGTGATCCATTATATTTTAGATCCCATATTAAATCCCTAGGTCTTACTGTTAACAGACTGATTTTTGTTTGTTTGTTTGTTTGTTTGTTTGAGACAGGATCTCACTGTCACCTAGGCTGGAGAACAGTGGTGCAATCATAGCTCACTGCAGCCTCCATCTTCCCAGCTCAAGAGATGCTCCCACATGAGCCTCCTGAGTAGCTGGAACTACAGGATGAGCCACTACTCACCCTGCAGTCTGATTTTTTTTTAAATTTTTTATAGAAACAGTTTCACTGTGTTGTCCAGGCTCGTCTTGCACTCTTGACTCAAGCAATCCTCTTGCCTCAGCCTCCTAAATGGCTGGGATTACAAGGAGTGAGCCACCATGCCTAGTTAACAGACTGATTTTTTAAAAGAGAAATGCTTAAAAGGCATAGAATATAAAACACTGGCTATATTAAACATGCTACTAAGAATTCAAGAAAGAAGTCTACTTATGTGGCCTAATATGAATTCATAAAGTATTTGAAATAATTTTTAAAATTCTCACCCCAAGCCTAAAATTAATAACCTTATTTCTCTATTAATTCTGTGGAAAAAAAAAAAAAAAGTTTAGGTTCTAAAATATTTTACAATGTAGTTAATTGTCTGCGTTTATTTAAAAAGCCCTAATATTTTTAAATGTTATTTTTATACATAAAGACTTCTCCAAAACATTATCTATAATAATCACAATAAACAACCTTATTTTAAAAACTTAGAAGTGTGACATCATAAGCTATTTTAGAATTCTCTGTCAAATAGTTTTGAGTCAAACATAATTTTTTTTTCTTCTTGAGACAGAGTTTCACTCTTGTTGCCCAGGGTGGGGTGCAATGGCACGATCTCAGCTCATCACAACCTCCACCTCCCAGGTTCAAGAGATTCTCCTGCCTCAGCCTCCCAAGTAGCTGGGATTATAAGCATGCACCACCACGCCCAGCTAATTCTGTATTTTTAGTAGAAATGTGTTTCTCCATGTTGGTCAGGCTGGTCTCGAACTCCTGACCTCAGGTGATCCACCCACCTTGGCTGCCCAAAGTACTGGGATTACAGTCATGAGCCACTGTGGCTAGCCAAACATTATTTTTAAATGCAGCTTTTGCTTTCCTGCTACAATTTAGGGTTTAATATTTGACATCAGGCAATAAGAATGTATCATACAATATTAAAAGGTTGGAGATGAAGTTTGAGACCAGCCTGGCCAACATGGAGAAACCCTGCCTCTATTAAAAATACAAATAGCTGGGTGTTGTGGTGCATACCTGTAATCCCAGCTACTCAGGATGCTGAGACATAAGAATCGCTTGAACTGGGGAGTGGAAGTTGCAGTGAGCTGAGATTGCACCACTGCACTCCAGCCTGGGTGACAGAGGGAGACTGTGTCTCAATTAAAAAAAAAAAAGTCTGAGATACTTACAGAATCATAATAGAAACCAGTGCTGTGGTCAAAATATAGTCCAGTATTTTCATCATAACTAAATCCAGTCTGTGATACAGCTGCTTCTGCTGCAGCTCTCAAACTTTCAGCTAATGATGAGCCTTCTAAGGACGAATCTTCTGTTGCTAATGCAGATGCTGGCTCCTATAAAAGATACAGTCATGCCAAGTAAGGCAAAAGCTTCTGTACATCAATTAAAAGGTTGGCTGAACTAAAGACCTGAGATTGTATTTAGGAAATTATTTGAATTTCTACAATGAAAAAGGATGGCTATCAATTACTATTTGAACCACTTTTTACAATAGTTACTAGCGTGTCAGTAAATTCAACTTTGACCCAGTTTTGAAGGCACTCAAAATGAGTGACAATTATTCGAGAACAAATGTATGATACCACAGGGAAGCCATCCACAATATATAGACCCTGAAATATTGGCTAAGACAAAGATCTAGGTTTTTCAATAATTATATGTTCAATGGGAAAAAAATTTCAAAAAGATAAATGAAGGAGAAAACTGCAGATTAAATAAGATATATCAAACACAATGTGGATCCTGATTCAAACAAACTATAAAAACAAACTTATAGAACTTTCAGAGGAATCTGAACAGGGTATTTGACATAACAGAACATTAAAATTTTTTTAGGTTTAAATGTGGTACTGTTGTCCACAGTTCTTTGGTTGAGTCAAAATAGCTGGACAAATTTTGTTTCAGTTTATGTGTATCATAAAATTTTGGAATACAATGTAGCAGGAAAACCACTACACATATGAACAAGTTCTAATTTTTGTTTTTGAAAAACTGTAATATTCTTTGCATAATTACACATAAGAATGTTTATAACCCTTGCATATGCTGTGATAAACTAAAGAAGTCTCTCTTTCCACATAACAACAACAAAGAAGGACAAGTTCTTGGACATCCACAATTTCGTGTTTAGCATTTCATTACCTGTGAATTTGAGGCAAAATGGTCCTCTTGTCTACCTTTAACATTTTCTGTTCTATCAGTACCAGGGTAAGCATCATTTTCTATTTGTAACTGGTCTTTGGAATTCAAAGTAGACGTTTTGATACCTTGATCTTGTTGATCTAACAGTTCAGTCACTTTATTTGGAAGACTAACATCATTGTAGTATGTCTGATAATAATAATCTGTAGCAAAAAAATTAAGTGAAAACATATCATATTAGAATAATGTATATAAAAAGGACTTAATTCCAAAATACTGGCATTTAAACACAAAAAGCACATACTTCAAATAAAAGATTTTTATAACTGTACAAATTTTAAAAGATTAAAACAGATGGTACAGGTTAAGTGCAGAAGTGTATATTTTTTATTCTAATGTCTCCCTCAGGACCCTAGCTGTCAGCTTAAATAGAGAAAAAAAAGGTTAAGTTGGTTTACATTTTTTACAACAAGAGTAAAATAAAAATAGGTAGATGGGTTAGGTTCTATATAAAAAAACTTAACTCTCAACTTCTAACCAGATACCTTGATACTGTTGCTTATCAACTGATAATGAAATAAAAACGCAAGGAATTAGCGGTTTTTTTTTTTTTTTTGGTCGAATTTCTCTACTGATGCAGACTTTTTAAAACATATCATACAGATAAGTAAGGTTAGCACTATTGCAATGTTTAGCAATTTTTAGCCAAATTATGTCCTGAATGAAGTGAGGCAAAACTTAATAGGAAAGATGACTTCTTCTTGTGATGCCTATATATTAAAACTCAATATCTCAGCTATTTTGCCTTATAACATAATGCTACTAGTGAGGCCATGGTGGTGGGCTCACCATTCCCACAAGGCTCTAAGAGATTAATACTATACACAATTCTAATCAGAACTCATCAACAAGAAAACAAATGCCCCTGGTCACAAGGAAGGCCAGCCTATGGAAGTAGATGGCTAACTGCATGCCAAAAATTACTCAGTGAGTGTGCCACTGAAAACATAATAGCAACATTACAGAAATCACAGGAATGTCAATACATTTCTACTTTTTCCGCCAGAAGAACAAATTGATTATCTGAAAATACCATATCATATGGAGAGAAGTCAACGGTATTAACTATTCTCATTTACCTTGATCTTAGTTTATTTTAAATTTAAAGAAAACTCAACATTAGCATGATTTGAATGTAACAGTATTAGCATATCCTCACTATAAACTGAATACCTGAGATTGACCAAGGAGCATGGTTCTCTGTTTGTACTTCTACATCAGACTTTTTATTATCTTCATTTCTCCCACAATACAGTATTTTACTGAGTTCTTCCACCTGAAAGAAAACAAGGCTTTAGGAAAAGAAATCATGTAACAATCTAATAATATACATACCAGTCTCTTGCTGTTATGTTTTTCTTGATAAAAGTTTTAGAGAAATGTCAAGAGCAGCAAGTTTCCCTTTCAAAAAAGCTAAAATTATTTTACTTTTTACATTTAAAAGACATTTTTGCCAGACACGGTGGCTTACGCCTGTAATTCTAGCACTTTGGGAGGCTGAGGTCGGTGGATCACCTGAGGTCAGGAGTTCAAGAACAGCCTGGCCATCATGGTGAAACCCCATCTTTAAAAAGAAAAAAAGACATTTTTATTCCTAAACTCTTACTAAATGACCAAATATCTCCTCCAAAAGTTGAACTAGATAATGAGACTTTATGAACAGGGTCCTTTATTTCTAACAAATAAGAATGTTTTTATGTTAGTGTTTTTTTTTTTGTTTTTGAGACAGAGTCTTGCTCTGTCGCCAGGCTGCAGTGCAGTGGCACAATCTTGGCTCACTGCAACCTCCGCCTCCTGGGTTCAAGCCACTCTTTCGCCTCAGCCTCCTGAGTAGCTGGGATGACAGCCGCGTGCCACCTCACCCAGCTAATTTTTATATTTTTAGTAGAGACGGGATTTCACCATGGCCAGGATGGTCTCGATCTCTTGACCTCGTGATCCACCCACCTCGGCCTCCCAAAGTGCTGGGATTACAGGTGTGAGCCACCGCGCCCGGCCCCCTATGTTAATATTTTAAAGTCAGTAGTTCTCCCTAAAGAATTAGAAAACTTCAAAATGACAAATTCTCATCCCAACTGAATTATCTAATATCATTCTGTACCTTCCACTTGTAATTCACTATCCACTTGAATATGTTAATACCACCTATAAGCTTTAATACATTTTTTCATTAAGCAGTAGTCCTATAATTAACTGCAGCAGAAGAGAACAGGGAAGGTGACTCTCCAATAGGGGCATCTGTCCTACGTGTACTTCACACACACACACTGAAATACCCTTAAAAGGATGCTACTACATAAGACAGAAAGAAACAAGAGTGTGGAAATGCCCAAAAGCAGATAACACATTGCCTCAGTGAATTTACCTCAGTCTGAGAGTACCTCAATATGAGACAATGTCTCCTACACACATGAAACCAACTAAAAAACAAGCTTTTAAATATTGATTTAATGATAAAGCTAAAGCAGAGAAAGGTGCTAAAACTGATTATATACAGATTATCCAAACACTTCATGAGTTATTCAACCTGTTGCTACTACTAGGGCAGGAACTACATTGAGGGAAGCAAGATGCGGAGCATGAAAAATTTCAGGCACTCCTCTGATTCATACAAGTACAGAGTCCATACCTGGGAATTAGTGCCCCATTAAATTCCCTGCCCTAGGAGCCTGACTGCCTTGCCCTAATCCTGGCTCTGGCTACTATCCCTATTAGTATGAATTAGACTACTTAGTGTCCAGCACATGCTGTGCACTATACTTAATGCTTTGGGTAACATCCCGTTAATTCACACAACCACCTAAAGTATTAGTTGTCCTAACCCTAATTTTACATATAAAGTATCTGACAAGTAATTTTCACAAGGCTATTTTTGGACCTGGTACAAAGTCTACACATATTATGGCTCTCTAGTAGTTCATCATTAATTCTCAAGCCAAACTTTTCAACTGCTCTAGATAAAACATATTCAGTAATTTGGGATGACAGTTAATCAAATCCACCTCTCCCCAACCAAGGGAGGCTGACTAGGAGAGTTTAAGGAGTTATTACTATCCAAAGCAGAGTCGAAACTTTCTATGTGATTTTTAATATTGAACTAAAATGGAAGCACGTGGAGGACAGTGCAGACAGTCACCTTCTATTCGCTTCTGCTGCAGTTATTTAGTCATAGAACTACTATTTTTTAAAGTGCATTAAAGCTTGTAAGTGGAATTAACATATTTAATAAGTACAGGTGGAGAACACTGAATGATATTAGATAATATGAATGGGAATTAATAGCATTTAAATTTTCTAATTCTTAAGGGAGAACTGCTGATCTCTTAAAATATTAGCATAAAAACTTTTTTTTGTAAGAAATAAAGGATCCTGTTCACAAAGTACCATTACTTAGTCTATCAAATTAACAGTAACATACAAAATGCTCTCTCAAGATCAGCAAAAAATGTTTTCTTTTAAAATCTCTAACACAAGAAGTACTTTAACGATTTAGAATTATAAAGGAGCTTTTCAAACGGCTGTCGTTAAAAAAAAAGCCTGTCATATTTTGCTCCCCTCTCCCCATATTTCTTACCATATCTGTATTCTCCTAGCACAGTTGTACACATCGTTAGGTGTGCAAATTGACTAAACAAAAAGTTTCCGATATCATAATGTCAAGAACTCTACGTAACGGCCAAAGTCATTGCAACTCAGCAGTTATTTTCATAGCTCGTTTGGTAACAAAACATTAAAAAGTTGGATGACGTCTTAGTGTTCAGCCTATATATTGGTTTTAGTAAGCGTATAAATTATAAAGAACTAGACAACAGTTAAATTGAAACTAGTGACTGGAAATAACCGGGAGAGGGTGCAACTGCCCAACAGGTCAAGGTGGAAAAAAATATATATTATGCTCTTGGTTTTTTGTTTTTAATGTGACAGTTTAAGTATTACTATTTGTCCCTACTATTTAGGCTGAAAACGAAATAAGCTGCTTAACGTCTCCAACAAAGGCAGTTATATATCTTCCCTACTTCCACAAGAAAACCCAAGACGATAAACGCTCAGAGCACAGCGTTCAAAAGTTTGTAAAATTTTTTGTTTTCTCATGTTTCATTTTATTTCACCTTCACAACTGTGATCTATCATTCTCATCTGATGGGGAACTGAGGCTCAGTATAAGTTTACACATACGGGAAATGGCAGAGATGCCATTCTGACTCAAGGTCAACATTTTAATAAACTCAAATGTGCTCTAGAATAAATGCACCTACTGCCAATGGGATGTTGGGTCAAGTGAGAACGAAGACAATGTAGCCATAGTACTGAAGTTCAATTCACGCCCGCCGCGGGACATTGATTCAATCAAGTAACCTGAACTCGGGTTTGCTACTAATGTACCTGGAATTGTAACTATGCCGACCTTTTACTTATAATTATTTCAAGTACTCTATAGTAGTTCTGAGCCCCTGCCAGGGACCCCTTCGGAGACTATCTTGGGTTTCGAAGACCTCGCCTCGAGCTGGCTGGGGCGCGGGGCTGAGGCGGACCGCGCACCTGCGTGCGGAGCTCCTGGTTGTTGCTTTCTGCGTTCTGGTACAGCCGTTCTGTGTGATGCAGCAGCTTCTCTATCTCCCGCACCTGCCGCTTACAGCTCCGCAGTTCGCGTTCCAACTTCTCCACCTTCCGCCTCAGCTGGGCCAGCTCTGGCTCAGGGGAGGTGGGCGGCGACACCGAGGGCGGCGGCGGCGGGAACGGCGCCTCCGAAGCCATGAGGTCCGGCGCGAGACGGCTAGTAGTCGCGGAGGGGCTGCGTTCAAGCCGAAACGGCCGCCGGCGGACCCAGAAGCCAGGGGAGCGCGCGGGCAGCGAAAGGCAGCCTCACACCCGGCCGGCTGCGGTGGCCCCTGGCCATGACGCCCAGAAACTTGCTTGCAGCTGAACGGGGCTGCGGGCAACGAAGGATAACCTCTGTTTGATGTGCACGGCCTGGAAACTGGAGAACTTTGCTGGGAACTACCTTCTTCAGATACAGAGACAGGGGGAGGAGCGTCGGATAAGGGGTCCGAAACCAAGGGCTAGAAGCTCTCCGGCGGTTCCCGAATTGAGCCGGAAACAATGGCGCCAGCGGTGGGCGGGGCCAAGACGGAACAGGAAACTACGGAAAGCGGGAAAGACCGGATAGTGTACCTGAGGACGTCACGCCGCAGAGGGGCGATCCCTGAAGGGGTGGAGAGATGGTGGCAATGTGGCCCTAGAGTGATAGGGAGGCTTGCAGCCTCTGATCTTAGACGTTTGCACTTGCTGATGTTCCTTCAGCAAACTTTTGGCATAGTGTGCATTTCCTAGGTCCTTGTTTTACAGATAGCAGAGTACCCCATAAATTATTTGTAGGGGACTAATAACGATAATAGTAAACTGGGAATGGAGTGTACTGTTCTGATGCTCTACTTACTAATGTCAACCGAAAAATGAGGAGGTTGATAAATTTAGAAGAGAGCTTTATTTCTCATGAACGGTTACAGCCTGCAAGGTGGCCATTCTGACAGGCTTGGAAGCATAGACTACAGTCAGAAGCTGAGAACAGACAGTTGGAGGGAAAGGCAAAGAGAACAGTTTACGATGAGCAGAGTAGCCAAATATACATATTCAATGAGCTTTAGGAGGAGTCATGAATATTTATGAAAGGAGAAACTTGCACATGCACAATCAAGCTTCCTACCTCTCTGTGGGACCCATATTCAAAAAATGGTGGTGTTAGCATGATCCCAGAGTGAAATTTTCAGCCCTCTGACATCAAAAGGCAAAGCAGAGGACATGAAAACCCTCACTGCGAATCCCTGGTATATTGGCCAGCACTTCTCAGTGGTTGGTAGGCTCTTATCAGGAAGGAATGCTGGTGGGTATGAAATCAGCCCAACTGTCCTATAGAACTGATGTTTATGGTTTCTTTTGAATAAACCTGGAAATTGACCCTCCCAGTCTTAAAACTTCGGAAACATCTGTCTTATTTTAGTTCCTTTCCTGGGAAACCAACCATCAGGCCTCCTGTATAGTATCAAGGAACTGAAATTTACCAGATCACTGCATCTGGACAATGAGGCACCATACCATCATGATTGCCTAACCAGCCACCTGCTGCCTGTTGAATGACTCCTTATCCTTAACTTTTTCTTGGACTTTAGCACAGTTTTAACACTTGTTTCTGGAAAGGTCTTGGGCATTCTCTCTTAGGTTAATTCCTAGACACTCTGTAGTTTCATTGTGAATAAAATTTTATACTGTAGTATATTAGAGAGGGAAAGAAAAGTCAAAGTGATGAATAGGTTTCTGGCTTGGACAAGGAAGGTAGTGGTGAAAAAACATGCACTTTGAATGAAGAGGCCTTCCAAACAGGCTTTGTGTGAGGAACATGGCTGTTTATTCACCTGGGTGCAGGTGGGTTAAGGCCAGAAAGGGTATTAGCAAAACGGCAGTGGGATAGGAGTTGGTTTTATGGGTTTGGGTAGTTTTTTGGGGGGCAGAGATGTTGCAGAGTAAGTTTAGTTACAGTGGTGGGGCTGGGTGAGAGGTATTTACATTATCATAAGAACAGTTAAGATGGCAGGGTTGAGTGAGGGGCTTGTCCAGGGAAGCTCCACTGGGTGATCAGGGACAATGGCAAATGCAGGCAGGGGGTGGGAGACTTCAGCCGAGGCAAGCAGGTCTTCAGACTTTCAGACTCCAGGCTTGCATATGGACACCTGACAATAGGGACTATCGGAGAAGAGGAGGAAGGGATGCTTTAGTTTTGATTTTGTTGATTATATTGTTTGAGGTATTTGGTAAATAATGAGCACTACAGAAGCCTATCTGAAGCTTAAGAAACAGATCTGGCTGTAGAACTAGTACTGTATAAAGCAAACTTAACTGGCTCCAAGGGCTAGGGAGATAAAGCAAATAAATGGACAGGGCAGTTACTACTCAGCTCCTGAGAACTGTGGAGACATGTAGGAATGTGGATCCTGTGTTGCAGAACTTCTGATTTTTCAAAAAATATCAGGATTTGTATGTGAAATCTCTTTGTTTTAAAATAATGGTTCAAATTAGGAAAGTAATATCTGTAACTTCAGTGTCATATGATTTATTTTGTTTTGTTTTTTGGTTCAAGCAATTCTCTACCTCAGGCTCCTGAGTAGCTGGGATTACAGGTGCCATCACCAAACCCAATTTTTTTGTATTTTTAGTAGAGATGGGGTTTCACCATGTTGGTCAGGCTGGTCTTGAACTCCTGACCTCAGGTAATCCACCTGCCTTGGCCTCCCAAACTGCTGGGATTAAAGACATGAGCCATCATGCATGGTCGTCATATGATTTAATATAAGGAATTGGCTTGTGTGATTACAGAGGCTGAGAAGTCCCACAATCTGTTGTCTGCAAGCTGGATACCCAGGAAAGCCAGTGTTGTCATTTGAAGGCATGAGAGCTGGGGAGCCAATAGTATAGATTCCAGTCCATGTCTGAAGGTCTGAGAACTAGGAATGCCAAGGGCAAGAGAAGATCAGTGTTCTCGCTCAAGCAGTCAGGCAGAGCAAGAATTCAACTTTACTCTGACTTTTTCCTCTATTCAGGCCTTCAGTGGGTTGTATAATTCCCATCCACATCGGGGAGGGCCATCTGCTTTACTCAGTTTGTCAATTCAAATGCTAATCTCTGTTGGAAACAACCTTAGACACACACCAGAAATAATATTCAAAGAGATAAATGAGCATCTTGTGTCCTAATCAAGCTGACACATAAAATTAACCATCACACTTTGGAAATTACATTCATGGCCCTAATTCTTTATCTGTCTTGTTTCCTCACTAGAAGGGAAGAATCTCCTCTTCACCTTTGACCTGGTTTGGGCATGTGATTTGCTTTGGATGGTAGAATGAGGTGATGTGCCAGAAGAGTGGACCTGGTCTAAGCCTAAGTCCCGAGGCCTTAGTGATTCTGTTTGCCTTCTGGAATTCCTGCCATTGCCATGAGAAGAACACATCCAGGCATGTATGCTGGTCTCAGGAGAAAGATGAATAATACATGGAGCAGACCTCTCCTTGCTTAGATGCTCCGGCTAAGCCCAGCCTAGAGCAGAGACTTCAGGAAACCCTCAGACACATTAGCAATCCTGGTGGTAGTGATCAGCCAGCCCACACATCACCCCTAGGCTTGTGAGAAATAATGAAGAATGGTTGTTTAAAGCCACTACGGTTTGGGGTGTTTTGTATGCAGCAATAGCTAACTGATATTCAAACTGATCTAGAGCCATTGCAGGAGCCTATGAATTTAATCAGGCTGGAGTTCAAATGCGTGAGATATTACTATATTCCACAACAGAGGAATATTGTCAATTCAGTAAAAGCTGATTTATATCCAATTTCTTAGTGTCAATTCTATATTTAATTAATATCCACCTGTCATAATTTATATTGGATACAGTAAGTAGCCAACTCTTCCTTACCTTATTCAACTTTTGATGCCACACGAAAATATCTGGGAAGCTACAGCATTTCAGTAGTTCTGATTTATTGCCCCGTATTACTTTTGGTCAATTGACCATTTCTTGTTTCCTCCTCTGGAGGCCCAGAAAAGAATGGGTGGCTGTAACATTAAAACACTGGAGTGATAGTAAAGGAAGCCAAAGGAAGCTAGGTAAGGCCCTCTTCTCCACCCCCAGCTGAAATTCTTACATTTTGTACCTTTTTTTTTATGGTGGTATAATGAGTAAAAACATTGCTGTATTATGAATCTTCCCAAGTTCTCCTCCCTTCTACTCTCCCCCAATAATAAGAATTCAAACTCTCAAAGGACAGGTCTGTCCCACTGGACCAATTCTAAGTCTTTAGAATGAAAATCAGTCGTTCATACTAGAGCAGTACTTAAGCTCTTTATGGTAGGATCTTTTAAAAAATCCTAGTTCATTATGAATTAATGCTTTTGTAAGATAGAACAAACTGCATGAGTATATGGGAGAGGAGAGGTGAAATGGTACCCTTTTAATAGTTCTCAAGAAATGCCAAGTAAGTTTGGATTTTTAATTTTAAAGAGTTTTTTTAACTATTGAACTGTGCTGCTTTTTAATGCAACTGGCCCATTCCAAAAGGAATTTTTTAGTGTTAAAATACAAAATACAAAAATCAGCAATCATTGTTAAATTCTTTTGAGGGTGTTCATTGCTTGCTGGTGCCTTTCAGGCATCCTAAGCATTAGCAGGAAGGTGCCTGCCTGCTTTAGAAATCACTCAAGCTAGCCCTTGATCAACTGTGTCTAAATTGCCTGCTGGCAGGAGCATAGGTCATACCTTTGTCCTCAGCCTGAACCTGAACATGAACCTGAGCCTGTAAATAACTTTTGTTCAAAATATTAAATTTATTCATTTTCTCACTGTCTCCAAGGTTGCTGAGGGTTAAGCCCTTTCTGGATGCAACTTTAAAAAGTGTTTTTGTGGCAGGCTCTGCTAGTTGTCAACCCAATAGCCACGTTTTCCCCTTTCTGACAAGAGAACCTGAATTTTGTTCTGGGTAGCAATAACCCAGCTAAAGTCTACATTTCTCACTCTTCTTTGCAGCTAGGTGGCCGTATGTCAGAGTTTTGGCCAATAAGGTATAAGTAGAAGCAGGCAAGGCTTCTGGAAAACCTATAGTTTCCTGATGTATTCGTCCATTTTCACACTGCTGTCAAAGATGTACCCAAGACTGGGCAATTTACAACAGAAAGAGGTTTAATTGGACTTCAGTTAGTTCCACATGGTTGGGGAAGCCTCACAATCATGGCAGAAAGCAAGGAGGAGCAAGTCATGTCTTACATGAATGGCAGCGGGCAAAAGAGAGAAACTGTGCAGGGAAACTCCCATTTTTAAAACCATCAGAGTCAGTCATCTCCCATCAGGTCTTTCCCACAACATGTGGGCATTATGAGAGCTAGAAGATGAGATTTAAGTGGGGACACAGAGCCAAACCAAATCACCTGTCTAAAAAAGATAGACAGGATCGCCCTTCTCTTCCTTCTTCTTCTTCCTATCTGAAAGATGGACATTATGCTCCAGGTGGACAAGCCACATTGTGATTGTGAGATGACACCATACCCTAACGAAAGCAAACCAGAAAGATGGGAGGATCCTGGGATGTTAATGTCACTGTGAACCACGTGTCCCTGAACTTCCTCTTGATTAGTCACCATAGTAGCGTTTCTGTTTCATTCAGCCTAATGTAATGCCTAAATGGCATAGTCTTTTTTATGTAGTTTATCTACTTTGTTAAACATAGATAACTTAGTAATTTTTACTGACCTAACTTTTAGATGAAGCAATTACTGTACTGTCCTCTTGGAACACTTTAAGTGAATTCCAACTCAAGGAATAATTGTTGACATGATAAAATAACAGTAAGTTTAAGAACCTCTGGCTTCCTAGTGCTAGTTCCATTAGCATTGGAAGATATGAGAATATGCAGCATTCTTCTTGTTCATCTTTTGTTCTTCCTCTGTGTGAATGACCTAGGAAACCTTCCAGTTCAGAAATATATCAGTTGGTTCAGAGTGAAAGTTTTATGTCCTCCAACATTTTCCCCAAAAGTCGAGTGCAGTCATACACCAAATAACATTTTGGTTGATGATGGACCATATATATGATGGTGGTCATAAGACTAAAATGGAGCTGAAAAATTCCTATCTCCTAGTGATGTTGTAGCCTCTGTAACATTATAGCACAATGCATGACCTTTTCTATGTTTACAAAGTATTCAGTACAGTCACGTGATGTACAGGCTTATAGCTTAGAAGCAACAGACTAGACCATGTAGCTTACGTGGGTAGTAGTAATCTATACCATCTAGGTCTGTGTAAGGACCTTCTATAATGTTCACATAATGACAAAATCACCTGAAAGTAATGAATGTCTCAGTATCCTTATTGTAAAGCCACATAAGGCAGTTGTATTAATTGACCAGTCTCCAGCAATTAGTACCTTAAAACTTACCAGAAATTTGGCAAAGAAATGTTTGTGAGGCCGGGCTCTGTGGCTCACGCCTGTAATCCCAGTGCTTTGGGAGGCCCAGGCAGGCTGATCACCTGAGACTCCGTCTCTACTAAAAATACAAAATTAGCTGGAGCAGTGGCACCTGCCTGCAATTCTAGCTACTCGGGAGGCTGAGGCAGGAGAATCACTTGAACCCGGGAGGTAGAGTCTGTGGTGAACCCACATCATGCCATTGCACTCCAGCCTGGGCAAGAAGAGCAAAATTTCATCTTAAAAAAAAAATTCAGGTGCAGTGGCTCACGCCTGTTATCCTAGCACTTTCGGAGGCCAAGGTGGGCAAATCATGAGGGCAGGATATCAAGATCATCCTAGCAAACATGGTGAAAACCCGTCTCTACTAAAAATACAAAAATTAGCTGAGCGTGGCGGCACAGGCCTATAATCCCAGCTACTTGGGAGGCTGAGGCAGGAGACTGCTTGAACCTGGGAGGCAGAGGTTGCAATGAACCGAGATTGTGCCACTGAACTCCAGCCTGGCAAAAGAGCTAGACTCCATCTCAAAAAAAAGAAAAAGAAATAAATGTTTGTGAATATTTTCCAACCAGTATGACATAAAAATGCTTCTGGTGTGTTTTGAAGTTTTGGGCTTTTCTCCTTCCCCTTTGACAAATATTAACCAAGAAATGATATATAGAAGAAGCCATAATGATGGTGGAAAGAGGAGGGTAACTGCTTTGTGTGTGTGTGTGTGTGTGTGTGTGTGTGTGTGCACATGCACATGTAAGTATATACTACATGGGATTTGCAGATTACTGTTTGAGTCAGACTTTTAAAAATGAGTAGTAAAATTTAACAGTATAATGTCCACATATTATAAAATATTACAACAATAACTATATGTTGGCCAGGGATTATGGCTCACACCTGTAATCCCAGCACGTTGGGAAATCAAGGTAGGCGGATCACTTGAGCTCAGGAGTTTCAAATCAGCCTGGGTAACATAAAGAGACAAATAATAATTTAAAAAATGAGCCAGGTGTGGTGGCGCACTCCTGTGGTCCCAGCTACTTGGGAGGCTGAGGTGAGAGGATTGCCTGGGCCTGGGAGGTCAAGGCTCTCTCTCATTGTGTGTGTGTGTGTGTGTGTGTGTGTGTGTGTGTGTGTGTGTGTGTTTGTACACATACATATGTGTGTGTTGTATAACAATTACAAGACATATAATTTATATAGTATCATTTCCCTTAGATTCTTTCTGAAAGGAAAGGAATGGGTTATGAGTGTGATACACATCAGTGTATCTGAAAGAAACAAAAAATAGGGTTTGAGGAAAAACAAGAGGTACCCTAGAGAAGGTTAGGAGCTAAAGGAAGTAAGAATTTTTTCCAAGACCAAAAAGAAACAAGAGGATAAAGAGGAAATACAGGGTTTGGGGTTGGGTTGGGTATTAGGCAAATGTGCTCAAGTAGAGAGAGAATGCATTGCCCAGGAAGAGCTGGGTGGGCAGATCTGATAAAGAACCACTATGAGGGCTGTTAGGGCTCAGAAACTGCTTGGGAGCTGGGCCATCACCTACAGTTCGCTCTACTTTCATTCGTGGGAATGTCACCCCTGCCTGCACCAGGGTACTCTGATAACCATCCTCCTTGGTGCCCATGAGGACTTTATTCCTCCAGTGTCCTCCCCGACTGACTACCTAGGAGCACTCACAGCCATTCCCCTCTTTCCAACTTCACTACTCAAGGCACATAATACCCCAAGACATCCATGAACCGAAGGAGAGAGAGAGGACTGATAGGGTCCCAGATTGGACCCCCAGTGGTGGGTGTAAGGGAGCATTTCCCACTTGTACTTGGGGGTGGAATAGGATGGTGAATCAATCAAGAAATTTGAAAACATTTAACTCTGTAGGAACCTTCTCCTTTCCTCCCTCCCCTTTTTTTCCCTGAGGTGGAGCGATAGTTATTGATGATTCTCTTATAATATAAAAATATTTAAGAATATAAGAAAGGAAATTACAATGATCCAAAGGAAACATTGGAACACCACAACTGCATATTTACTTTCTTGCTGTTTCAAAGAAGGTCTAGGTTATGATCTCATCGTTCATTGATATGTACTTCTCGGCTTGTGTTAGTTCATGAGAATTCAATCTGAGATCATGATGAATAAATAATTACCAAAGTGATGGATTCCTTTCTTGGAACAGTCTCCTGATGAGCAAGGATAGAATGTAAACCTAACAACTTCTTTATCATCATCATACACTTATTAAATATAGTCATGGCATTTCATTTGGCATTGAATATACCTACATATGAGATAGCTATGAACAAATTAAGGTTAATCTGAATGTGTACCAAAACCCTAGAGGAGGAAGACGAAGTTGGGTGCTTAT